GTCTAAAAGTTGCAGGATTATTTTATTGTTAGTGTATTTGACAGTATAATAGTTACTATGGTTACCAATTTGCTAATTTGTCATTAACACAATTGCAAATCGCGAACATGACACCTACCAAAGTGTACACTGAATGTACGAGGCACATGTGCTTGGTCATTTTTGATTCATGTAAAACATAATAGTAGACCATATGTGCAAATGAGCCATCTCTAGCATTCTATTTCATAAGCAAACTTTTGGGATTATACAGTACTTTCTGAAAAGAAAATGTAACGCTCTGTAACCTCATATTAATAGCGTACTTAAGTTCACAAAATTGTTCAACTCGTCAAACTTTCAAAAGCTAAAAATGTTTATTTCGTCAATTTTCTTAGAATAAGTAACTTAAATGTGAGTTTTCTAAACTATCTACGCATTAGAGGTCACGATGGGCAAATTCTAAAGGCATTAATCTAATGGGAATAAGGAACTGGAATTTTAAATAGTGATGGCTTTGTGATGTAAAATGAACTCATCTGTTGAAATTTAAGATCGAGAAAGATTAGTAATTTGTATTTGTATTGTGATGTAAATGTATTGTAAAATGTAATTAAAGTTTCAAGGGTTATATTAAATGCATGTATAAAATAATTTCATCACATATAAAACATCGCTACAATATTCAATTAACCGCAGACCGTAAAAGGTCTATAGGACACTGGGGACATCACTCTTAAACCGGCGATGTTCCCAAATCTTTTGACCACAGGCTTTTGCCACATGTACGGAGATTTATGATCAAACATCAACGTATTGAATTTATCGTTGTCAGAAAATTCCTGGAAACCTGGAATTGTATTTTAACAAGAAATGGTGTTCGTCCTCTATGGCATTAAGATCAAAAATTAATGGCTAGCTCTTTCCGATCCAACATGGCAGGATGAGATGTGAGATAAGGCTCAGTGCATGAATCCTAGCTTGAACGTTCTGTAGGTTCCTAATTTGTTTCCTTGGCCTTCTGGACGTCTTCCGTCACTCCAGATGTTGTCTTGCCAGTTAGTAGAATTTAATGTAAGAGTGTTTTTAATGTTAATAGAATTTTTAGAATTTTATGTAAAAGCGTAATTGGGTTTGAAACTCAGGTAAATACTTGTTTTTACCCGGTCATTGTTATTATCATTGGCACCTATTTATTGAATTTTCCTGTATCGCAACACCAATTTCAATTTTAGAATTACAATCATTTATCATGGAGGTTTCTCACAACGGGTGTTATAGCTAAATCGCATCCGCAACGCATCTCTTTAACTGAAGCATAAATCATGTGAATTCGTTACGGATTTTAGGTACGTTTGGCTAAAAACGTTTAGAGAAACCTCTCTATCATCTCAGTACGCGACTTTAGACTCTACGTAGTATCAACTAACATATTCAGGGCCACACAGATACCCGTGTCATGTAAAATTACCCCCAATGAAAGGTTTTAGTAATGTGATACCATGCAATGTCCATACGAAAATGGATAAAACCTAACTGGTAAATGATAACGGCCATATTGTAACCTATTGAAACATCTTTGTAGACAATCTTCTTGTTTTAATTGAAAAATTGATGTTTAAGATATGTTTAGGCACATATAAGAGCTTTCCTTATGGACCACTTGTGTTTTTAGCAGTTCTTTTATTTGCAGATGTACAATATTTTATGACAATGTTATAGATTAAAATAAATACTTAGTTTAAAACTATTGGCACTATAAAATATTTTGAAAAGGTCAGTCAAGGGTTCATCTTCTGTATACTGGTATACAGTCTATAGGTAGCCTATATATTGTCTGTACTTTCAAAACTGCCACTTGTTTGACTCGTCTATATATTTTACTGTCTCATCTTTTCATTTGTGCAAACTGTAAAATGCGACATACTTTTGATCAAAGACACCTAGCTTTAAATTTCTAAAACTTTGTCATGTAGCCATCTGGTGAATTCGAACATAACGACATCTTTAATAAATATCAGATCTAGAATTAATACACAAGATGCGTTACATATGATTAGTAGAGATTTCGCAACTCACTAAGCATGTTTATTATTCCCGTGTAACGTGTAACTTATGAAGCTCTGATTACGTCATCATTTATTGCGCAGCTCCATTCGTCTTTAAATGTGATATAAGGGAGTTTAAGCTTGCAATGTTTTTCACAACCTAAACGTGAACGGAAGATATTTAAGCGATGCATTTCTATGGGCGATTGGTTATACGTATAGGTTGGCGTTTCGATTCTATATGCAAGCTTAAACTCTTTATCCTTACGAAGATTGGGCCAATGATATAAAATGACAACATCATTGACGTTACTTCTGGATCAACCTATATCCAGCGCCGTGACGTGCCGCAAAAAGGTGGCGCATTTGTTTTTTAAGTGTAAATAGGGTATTTAACTGTTCATTTTTAAGCATCAATTGCTCTCATTAATTATGCAATATTGTATGCTCCATAATAATTTGGCGTACTTTTTTTGCCAATTGCTCTCATTTATTATGCAATATTGTATGCTCCCTAATAATTTGGCGTACTTTTTTCCCACCTTTTTACTTTTCAACCAATTAGATTTGTTGGTTGGATAAACACACAATGGAGGAAGACTTGGCAACAATGTTATAGCAGATACATACAAATCCAATCAACCACAGCTTTATACAGTTAGCCCAGGGCTGTCTGTCTGTGTCTATATCTGGCTGATTACAATAAACAATTTTTAATCTAAGATGATCTTATGTGACGCCATTTAGCCACTTAAATCCACCACTACATAAGGGTATTGCGTGAATGTAACTTTGATTCCCCGGATTATAAGATATAGGTTGGCGTTTCGATTCTATATGCAAGCTTAAACTCTTTATCCTTACGAAGATTGGGCCAATGATATAAAATGACAACATCATTGACGTTACTTCTGGATCAACCTATATCCAGCGCCGTGACGTGTCGCAAAAAGGTGGCGCATTTGTTTTTAAGGGTATTGCGTGAATGTAATGTTGATTCCCCGGATTATATGATATAGGTTGGCGTTTCGATTCTATATGCAAGCTTAAACTCTTTATCCTTACGAAGATTGGGACAATGATATAAAATGACAACATCATTGACGTTACTTCTGGATCAACCTATATCCAGCGCCGTGACGTGTCGCAAAAAGGTGGCGCATTTGTTTTTTAATGGTATCGCGTGAATGTAACTTTGATTCCCCGGATTATAAGATCTAATTAAAGTTATATATCATTTTAAAGCTGTTTCGATGAAGTTTTAAGATCAACTACGCTCCGTTCACGATTCTTGCGCGTTCTTTTTTAAAAAAAGAATTTTTAAAACATCTGGCAAATATCCCCTGTTGACACGTTACATTTTGACTTATTTTTCGTCTTTAAACGCTCATAACTCAAACAATATATGTCTATTCTAACATGATATATGATGTCACAATGACGAGAACAATTGATTTATTGGTCTATATTGGGGTATGTATGACCTGTAAATTTCAATATAGACCAAAAAATGTAATGACTATTACAATTGCATACTCACCCCCTCTGAACCAATTTAGTCACAATATAGACATGACAGATGTCAATATGTGACGTCAGTTTCATTATTGATATTTTTGCAAACTATTTAGCTAGGAGGAAATCCGGCAAATGGAATGTCCAAAACATTAGAATTTTTTCAGATTGAAAATAATCAAATCGGAAGAAACTTAGGTTTTATCATATTAGAATCGTAACAAAGACCTCGATTCTATGATTTATGGCAAATATATGACCTCATATTTTATTCTACCCATTGCCAAAGACCTCAATCGCTACGCGATTTCGGTCTTTTAACAATGAACAGAATAAAATTTTCGGTCATATATTGCGCCATTAATCATAGAATCTCGGTCTTTATTCCTTAATTATAATTATTTTTCGTCTTGATAAAGGTAGATGGAAGTTTTATTTCAAAGGATGAATTTTAGTAAGCGTTCCATATTGTGACATCATAGCGATTTCGGTCTTTTAACAATGAACAGAATAAAATTTTCGGTCATATATTGCGCCGTAAATCATAGAATCTCGGTCTTTATTCCTTAATTATAATTATTTTTCGTCTTGATAAAGGTAGATGGAAGTTTTATTTCAAAGGATGAATTTTAGTAAGCGTTCCATATTGTGACATCATAGAGTTTGAAAAATAGAATCTGTTGACAGCGACCTTTTTTGCTCATTTTTTGTTACCTTCAACTTTTCAGGTGTACATTAAACAAAAAATACGAGATCAATTTTTAATACATCATACATGATTATTTTGCTCTTAAACTCTAGTTTATTAATAAGTAGTTGATTTTGTATGTGTTTTCTGTTGTATGTGGAAAAGTGGAGGACGAAAGGTTTTCAAAATTCATTAAAATAGGGCTAATTTACGCCATTCGGCTATTTTCAAGCACAATAACACGTATATTTATTTCACCTAAAATATCAACTGATTCGTGTTTTATGATGCTCCTTTCCCATTGTTAATACATATACGATATCAGAGTTATTCGCCTTAAATATTTGAGATATAGAGGCAAATGTGGAGAACGAAAGGATTTCCATATGTGTACATTTTTCTCAAAAAACGTCACATTCTGTGGTTTAAAAAGCGAAAATGTGTAACAATGCGTGCGCGACCTTTTTGCGACACGTTCGTCTATTCAGCAGTTCGTGTATACTAATCCTTATTTTATCGTCATATCTTTTAACTTAAATATGTATACTAGGATACTATTTCCAACTTCTAATATTTATAGATTATTTACACCTGGCCCATACCAGCTCAAAACAGTCCTATACAAAATAACTGAAGCTTGTACAGTTTATACATTTTTATTGTGAAAAACAAACAAAGTGAAACTCGAGGGGAATACTTTGCTTCGAAGGCAATTAGATAAGCTCTTATAACCATCATTTTGAGGAAGAAATGATAACCACGCGACAAGGGTAGAGTTCTTAAAAATCATCTTCATTAATATAGATATGATAATGAAGTGGACATTGTGTCTGATCGCTGTCGCATTCTCTGTAGCCTTTGCTGGTAAGTTTGCTTGTATTATCTATGTAAGATCAAGTGTTGACTAATGCGCAACATGTTCGAATAAATATAGCAAAAATCGTTGAATAACGTGTAAAGGCGATATGAAGCCCACAGTCTCTTAGAAATTGATTCTTCTTTGGAAATGAAACCCCCTGATCATTTTTGGAAGCCATGATGAGATATATACTTGGACAATTAAAGCCCAGAAAAACTGTATCGTGTTGATACCTCGTTAGTAAAACGATACTTATCTTAATTTCCTTACGCACTAAACAAGTTAATTGCTATGACCATAATGAAAACAAACTAAACAGCAGCAACGCCAAAGCGTAGCAAATCCCATCGAACAGCCATGGTTGGCATATTTACAAACAAAGTAAATAGCAAAAATGGCAGCCACTTTTCAGTATGGCCACCTTCTACCAAACGTGTCATTAGCGATGTGCCATGCTTAAAGTATTCACATACCAAATATGAACAAAATCGCTCCACTTCTTTTCGAGTTATAGAAAAATACGTTAAAATGGTGGCCATTTTGGAAAATGGCCACCTTCTCCCAAAAGTGTCATTAGACAGTCTGCCATGCAAATAGTATTCAGTACTATTCACATACCAAATATGAACAAAATCGCTCCACTACTTTTCGTGTTACAGTAAAATACGTTAAAATGGTGGCCATTTTGAAAAATGGCCGCCTTCTACCAAAAGTGTCATTAGACAGTGTACCATGCTTATAGTATTCACAAACCAAATATGAACAGAATCGCTCCACTACTTTTCGAGTTATAGAAAAATACGTTAAAATGGTGGCCATTTTTCAAAATGGCCGCCTTCTACCAAAAGTGTCATGCTTATAGTATTCACATACCAAATATGAACAGAAATCGCTCCACTACTTTTCAAGTTATAGCAAAAATCGTAAAATAACGTTTAAAGGCTGCCATTTTTCAAGATGGGTGCCATGTGCTTTTTGATATATTTACATTTATAACTTCATTATTGTCCTATATAGTTTTTTACTTTTAACATATATTGCTATTACAGTTTTACATATTGCACCTAAATTACTGTAAAATCGGCACTAAAATGGCCGCCATTTTTAAACGAGCGGCCATTTCAAAAATCGGCTTTTGAGCAGAACTTTTACCCCCATAGGGTATATGTGTACAGAATATGAACAAAATCGGACAAACGGTATTTGAGTTATTGCCCGGACGGACGGACGGACGTACGTACGGACGTACGTACGGACAGACGGACGGACGGACGGACGGATTGAGGCGTTCCCTATATCCCTTCGAACTTCGTTCGATGGGATAATAATAGTGAGAACAGAAAATAAGGGTTCTGCAACAGGACATCAATTTTAACGAAGCGTCTTAGGAAATATTTGGTTGACACTATAGGCTTCACATGGATCCTCATCATGATAAAACCACATTTCTTTTCAGGCCTAAGATCATGAGTATCAGAACGTGGATCCTGGCTATTATTAGTTTCTTAATTACAGATAATTGATTGATACATTGTCAGCCATTGCTATAGCCACTTTTCATAACGTGATGTGACTGAATGTTTCTATAATACACAATAGCGATTTCATTTTATACTATGTACTCAAACAGGTCATAGAAGCTGGCCTATTTAATACTTTTGATCAAGCATTTATTATGGATAAACAACTGTCTATGGTCTACGTACGTAAAAAGGCAACCTCAACCTTTACTAATTTCGAGCTTGTCCAGGATATCCTTGTTCATGTTGCCATAGCAGCCATTTTTAAACTCTAAAAGCAAAGATATTTTAGGGTTCCCCCTCTTGAATATCCAAAAGCATCCAGTTTTTACAATAGCAACATGAACATGTGATTTGAACATTGGAAAAATATCGAAATGGATATTTCAATTAGGTAATCTAATAATTTTCATGCAGTGCCAGTCAGTCTCTTGATATCTCAGCCCTGGGCTTAAACGATGGTAATAATACTAATAACCTCATTTCAGTGGATCTTTGGTCCAATTGTTTCACTATATTGAACTTTGAGGTTATTGGTCTATAAATTACTTATGATTAATTAAGATTTAAGCAGTTCTATTCTTGTTTATTTAGTGTAACCACTGTTGTACACTATTTGCCGTCTTTCCAGAAGTCGGGGTAACATTAAAACGCCATTCATGCAGACGTGACGACTATCTCTTTTGGGGTGGGGAAAGGGATAACTTCTTTACGAAGTGCGCAAAGGGTGAAATGGTAGTAGTGACAAATGCTGTGTTATATCCAGTTGAACATAACCTCACATGCGTTATGAATAATTCTGAATGTCGTCACAACTTTACCCAATCAGCTTTTGACACTTGCGTCAACACGGAAGTAAGTGGGTTTTAATTCCTCGTCGGTCATTAATAATCATTTACTCTATCTTTTTATATAAGAAATCACGAATCATTCCTTCAATGTCCAATGTTCAATCTTGCGTTCTTATCCGTTTACAGGTCTGCCTTCCGATGGTGAATTACATTGAGTCGAAAAGGTCCTGCTGCAAAAACTTATTATGTCACGAAATCGAGTATGAGTGCGTACCAGGTAAGTTCTGACAATAATGTTAGTACATCTTTAATAGAATTTGCTGTTTACTTTATCCTGATTATGATTCTTGGAGATGTTATGGTATACACGCAAAATTGAATGATCATAAGTAGAAATTTGAATTATAAAAAGTGTATCCTAAAACACGTTTTTCCTTTTACTTCCAGGTTCATGTAAATTGCCCTCGTCACCCGCTAATGGCCAGATTTATGTCTCTGAAGATTCGGGCATCTGGAACGGATCTGTATCTTATTCATGCAACAGGGACTTTACATTAGCAGGAGAACAAACGAGGACTTGTATCAGAAAAGAATTCAAAAATGGTCCATGGTCATCGGCAGTGGAATACAGGTATACATGGTCGGGAAACCAACCAGTGTGTGGTAAGTTTGAAATTTATTTTTTGATTTAGATACCTGGTGTGAAAGAAATTATGGTCCCCGGGGATTATGGTCCCCTTTCTTAACGGCCCTTACTGGCCCTGATTGTGTCTATAATAATAAGGGAAAGAAGTCATTATACACTCCCCTCCGTAAGTTTGGCAACCTTTTTTCCCCCATTGAACTACGTGTTGAAGCTTTACCTTTGAATTTTTATTTATTTAACTTGCGATGAAAATACTTTTACTATTGATGGAAACGTAATTTGACTTTAATTCCAATACGTTCAAATTTTCACAATTTTTTTCCTCAATTACAATAAGTCGAAAATTGATGATAAATTTGATGAATTTTTGAAAATCTACATTCCCATGTTCACCAATGGGAAATGGTAGGTTTGCCGCAACTCATATGACAGAATATCCATCTATCCGAGTCCTTGCAAAAAATACGAGTTAGGCGGGCAATTGAATTTGCTAACTTTATTTAACAAAAAATGTATATGTTTCTTCAGGTTCAACAAAGTTATAGGGCTTTAGAGTCAAAATTGTTTTTCAAAAACCTCTCCCATTGATATAACACGAAAAATTATTTTCAAAAATGACTTTGAGGCGCTGTAACTTTAATATTCATCAAATAAACTAAACACTTAGTGTTCAAAAAAGTTAGACAATTCAATTTTCTATATAAAATTATTTTTTGCTGAATCTTTTACTGAAAAGATATCCTGATTTCTGATTTGCCCCGAACCCTCCATTTCCCATTGGATTACATGGGAATGACGATTTTCAAAAATTCATCAAATTTATCATCAATTTTCGACCTGTTGTCATTGAGGAAAAAAATTGAGAAAATTTGGAGGTATTGGAAATAAAGTCAAATTACGTTTCCATCAATATTATAAGTTATTTCATCGCCGGTTAAGTAAATAAGACATTCAAACGTAAAGAGGCTTTAACACGTAGTTCAATAGGGGAAAAAGGTTGCCAAACTTGTGGAGGAGAGTGTATAAATAAATGAAGAGTAGGACCATGATTTGATAGGACCCCCTACCCTTTTACACCTGGTTTAGATAACCCCTTCCTCTCGGTCACCCAAAGCTCGTTCTCACTACGCTGACAGAATATAACTCAACTTAAGTATGTACTTTATCAGTCGTTATTTTAAGTAAATGCCTTCCAGCCAAGATATAACGTTCCAACGGACTTGACAACGCATTTCTAGACATTCATAGAGTTTGATATAGGTTCGTTCTTATTGCAGACGTCGATGAAACATTGTGTCCATCGACTGCATTTAAAAAGGAGACACTTGGTCTTATGTGCTATGAATTCCACGACGACCAGCGGACAACGTTCCAAAATGCTAAAGAGGCTTGTGAGAGTAGGAGATGGAAACTGGCAACGGTAATCAATGAAGAAACTCTTCGTCTCATACGGCATCACATGGATTATGGTAAAAGATCCAATTACAAGTACTGGGTAAACGGTAAGAGATAAAACATTCTCTCCCAAATAGTTTATTACTTTGTTCTAATTGTACAATGTAAAGAAACATTGATTATTTAATTAATTAATGAGATTGATTCATGACCGGACATCTACGACATATTTAATCATCACATATCTCACTGACATAGCAGGGGCGTAGCCAGCAACTGTCAAAGGGAGGTGCGACTTTTTGGGCTTGCATCACAGCTAGAAAAGCGAGCACCAAAGTGACACTAAGTGTTTTCAAAAGAATTCACAAAATTGTTTTATTTATTTCTTTGTGGGGATTGGGGAATGCGATCGCACCCCTTCCACCTAGCTACACAAATGCATAGACACATTGTTTATTTAAGAAGAGGAAGGGGACAAAAACCGTGAAAATCGTGAATGTATAGGTACGCAGTTTGATAGCACATATTTTTAAACATGTTATGACTTATAATCGTTTTTACAAACAAATGACATTACTTAAACCAGGTACAATAGTACAATAACGTCATTTCTGCGGGCAATATAGTGAAATATTGGACCGAAGGCCGAAGGCCAGGACTGAAACAGCAAGAAAATCTTACGCACTTAACGATATCTATTTTCCCGGGGAACATTGCCGGTCGTTAAATGCATTCTCGACCGGTCGTTCAATGCATACTTGACCAACACTATGACGTCACATATTGCTCAGGTCGATATAGTAAAATGAATGCCTCCTAACTAGCACTTAAACCCCTAGAACTGGCCCGGCAAGGTGGTAATAATAATTCTATATTTAAGAAATATAGACCGAAGAGCAGGTATTACATCGACAAATAAATATGCTTGATTTCCTACTTCTGATTTAGCATTTAGCGCTGAACGACACACAGTTCAGACCAGGTATTGTATCGACGAATAAATACCGGATGAAATATTGACTTTGTTCACAGTTTATAGAAGGCGTGAAGGCAGTCATGTTTGCGCCTAGTAAGTACGCCGTTTTTCCCACCGTGCTAGTGGTTTTCACTTGATTTCACACTTGAAAATTTAAAATCCTAGCAATTAACCTCTTTATCTGCCGGATAAAATCTCTTTCTGCTCAATTCCCACAACTATAATTAATTATTTACGCAAATGCTTTTGTTTTATGCGTTTTAGTTGATCCTAGGTTTAATGAGTCATTTGACGAATCTTGGTGTGCCTATGTATATTCCGCGTCACCGACTGGAAATATTGGATATTATGACGATAGCCAATGTTCAAATAACTACGGATACATCTGTGAGTACGGTAAGTAAAATGGTAAGTTTAAAAGAAAAAGTTTGCATTTATACGGTTGTTTTTCGGATAATACATGGCTATACAATTACTGTCACGTGATATTTGACAGTCCATTGCATTCAGCTTTTGGTCTCAAAAATAATGACATATCACGTAGCCTAATTACAATTTTAGAAGCATTGAATACGACATCTTGTAATGCCCTTGTCACACCAAGAAACGCCTATAGAACAGGTACAAGTCGAGCAGTTGGGAGCACTGTAACGTTCAGATGCTTCCCCGGATATACTCCCTATCCATTCAGATCGTCAAGGACTTTCACAAGACAGTGTCTCGACAATGGAGAATGGGATGGTGTCACCCCGTTTTGTCGAAGTACATCCATCATACACACTTAAGTATATGTAGATATAATGAAATGGTTGATATTTTGCAGATAAAACAAGTGAGGGTCTTTCAAGTTTACGGTTTGAGACCTCTTTAAATAAAAAAATGCGCTTGACTCTTCTTATTTGTTCTGCTTACCAACTCTCTTGTACATGTAGTGTCACATCCCAATGGATTGTGTTTCCTTTTGCCGTTTATAATTTTAGTTATTCCCATACTACCAACAAGACCTCCCAGGCCTGCCGTTACCACTACTACACCAGTTCCTACAACTACAATGCCAATGTTTGAAATAGGCAAAAGTGGTAAGGAATTGCAAAAGCAATATTTGTTTTTCCCGCATTTTCGTTGTTTATTTATTCTTTTTTGTTTGCATGCACTTCATCTATCAAGTAGCAATTTTTCAGCTAGTGCCTTATCTCCATCTGGTTGAACCTTTCTCGATCCATACAGCATTATAGATATACATGTATGTAAAAAATCGTAAAATTCCTTTTTAATCAATAGCTGGAATACTTTTTAATGATTTTTATAATTGTCAAATTCTGTTGCAGCAAACGAGAGTTCCTGTGCTAAGGACTATTGGGGAGACAAGCCGACTTTCTATTTGAAATGTCCAGCAGGGTTTATGATTATTGTCACAAACGCGATTTTACATCCTGAGAGGACTAGTAAATCATGTGACGTTCAAAACACTCCAGATTGTACACACAATTTTACTGAGAGGGCTGCTGCAAATTGTGAGTATAGAGAAGTTTGCAGGATACCATTGCATAGCTACATTGGGAAGAATAAAGGAAGTTGCTGTGAGGAGATCTGGTGTCACGAAATTGATTACTATTGTATTGAAGGTAAAATTGTCACATTTTACGAAATATGTTACATGCATATGAAACTGTCAGAGATAAGTTGATCGCATGAGAAATCTATTTTCATCTGAACTTATAAGGATTTATCATTTTCAGCTAGCCGTACTTGTACTCACAGATTTAGACACCTAATTTAAAGAGGAAGCTTGAGATATTCAGTTTCGATTCTTAATTCACCAAGATACTCTCACCTTGCTCATGATACTTTTTTCCGATAAGTATGCTAACAAAGAATAAGTTCCATGGCAAAGATTAAGGGTTTTATACGAAGCACCGAGACTAAGCATTTAGCATTTTGGCAAATCTTTGTTACTTTGATATTTTGTGATAGTTGAAATTAGTAATCGACATATTACAAACAATATTCAAAACTCCTCGCTTTTTTAAATACTCTATTGCCCATCTTACTTTCACGTTATAGCAAAATGCAGAGAGCCACCAGCTCCCCTGAATGGCACCGTAGTGACAAGAACACCTCCCAAAATTGAAGGCGAGGCCCTTAACTCATGGGATCGGGGTGGTCTAGCTATGTACACATGTGACAACAATTTTGAGTTGGTTGGCCAAGACACAAGAACCTGCGACCGTAGCCCAACGTGGCATTTGTTCGGCGAACCCGATGTTGAGTATAAATGGAATGTAGTAGCCCCAATGTGCAGTGAGTACAATATTCCTGAAATGGACTTAAATATAGTATAAAATAAAAAGTCATTTTGATTCACAAGATCACTTCGGATTCAAAATAGTATTGCTAATAAGCAATTCAACAATAAAATATACATGTAAAGGTTTAGTCACTCGGAAATGTGTTTTAAACACAATTTCTTGAAGGAATGTACTAAAAAAGCTTCGACCCTACGACCTACTGACTTACGTACGACTTACTGGGTGTTAAGAACTTTTGGAATATATTTTTTATAAAAAGATTCTCAGTCCATATGGAGTTGCTGGAAATTACTATGTATATAGAACTTAAGAACCTGTCCCCCGAGATATTTGTTGTATTGTATATAGTTTAAAGGAGGACCGTCTTCTGATTTTATCAATTTGATTCCATTTGGATTTGTATAGTTATGAAACTAAAGTCGACTTAATAAGTACACCATAAGAAGTACATTCTTTGTTTTGCGTCCTGCAAAATGCAAGGCATGCAAAGGAAGTGCACAAGGAAAATAAACACAAACTCAAGAAAAGTACAAACTTGCAAGCTAGGTAAATCAAGCTTGTATAGCCAGCTTTTGCCAATTGAAGGGCTCACTTTTCAAAAGGATCAAGGGGTGAACATTTGACAATTTTGGCCCACAATCACTTGAAAATGTTCAGAATCGTGAAAAATTTATTGATTTTGAGAGAATATTTTGCCAAGGGGGTGGTCCACCTCCCCTGAATATATACATTTTAAGGGCATAAAGGTTATTACAAACACATCTATACAATTACATTTATTAAACATAGATATAAAACATTTCAAAACTAGATAACAGCAACGCTGAGGGGTAGCAAATCCCATCGAACTTTTGAGCACAAAATCGTTCCACTATTTTTCAAGTTTTAGTAAAAAAAAAAGTAAAATAACACACTTTAAAATAGAGGCCACTTTTCAAAATGGCCACCTAGCGAGTGCGCCGTGCTTATGAGTATTAACATATCAAATATAAAAATCGATCCACTACTTTTTGAGTTAAAAACGCAAAATATCACACATTAAGTTAGAAGCCATTTTTCAAAATGGCCGCCTACTTGCCAAAGTGTCATGAGATAGTGTTCCATGCTTATGAGTATTCACATATTAAATAATATGAAGAAATCGCTCTATAGCCTTTTAGCAGTTACAGCAACAATCGTAAAATAGCAAGATGGCCACCATGTTTTTAAATCTTTAAGTTTTCAAGTTAATCAATATCCTATATACTTGTTTGCATTCAAAACATAGTAACAATACTGTTTATATGTTATAACTAAAATGCCGTAAATTTTACACAAATGGCGGCCATTTCTAAATTAGCAGCCATTCTTAAAATCGGCTTTCGAGCAGAACTTGTGCTCCCATGGGCCATATACATATAGATTTAAACGATATTGGTCCAAGGGTCTTTGAGTTATTGTCTGGACGGACGGATGGATGTACGTACTTAGAATTTGGACGCACATATCAAATTGTCCGCTATTTCCGATTCTGATTGAACGAAATGCGGTGGTGCGTTGAGACCCAGGGGGGTTATTATGCTATTTGGAGGGTTTTCGTAAAACACCGACCGCCGACCACCGACCACCGACCAGTCACTCTCCACAGTTGGGTACATGTGGTCGGTGGTCGGCTGACGGTCTTTTACATAAAGATGAAAAAATGCAAAATTAGAAGTAAAACTAAAACTGGGAATCCAATGATAATAGTACCTTTGCTAGGTCGTGATTTAAAAACGTATAATTATCATTTCAAATCACGATGAAAACGTTACATCGTCGTGGTGTGTAATGTCATATTTTTAAGTGATGTTTCAGTTGTTAGAAGACCAATTTCATCCTGGTTAGTCACTTTGGAAAAAAACGCACGTAACATTGCATTAAGTTCATTCTTCATTCATATGAAACGCAATAACAAAAACACACAAACATCGTCGATGTTGACGTCGTAACGTTATGTTTGATTTCTCAGTTGTTAAACGTCAACTGGTAAAAACTACATTTGATATGACAAAAAAAGCTTTCTAATGGTGTACTGAAATGGTAAGTCACTTTTAATCCCGATAAGAGAACGCATGTAACATTATATCGTGTTCAGTATTCAGTAGGCTATGACGATAACAAATCATTTTTGTTTCGAAATTGTTAAATTTCAGTAAAAAATTAGGATAGATTCCCGTAGAAACGATAGGTTGGTTAATGATAGGTTAGGACCTAAGGCAGGGCAATTAATCGAGAGGAGACGGTCATGACCAATTTGTTTGCTTGCCATTCGTTGCAAGGTACAAAATCGGTAAAAACGTTGCCTAGTCCAACGATTGACATTCAAAATCAAATTATTAATATTCTAAGGCTACAAATATGTTTGGTCTTTAACATGATATGGTCGGTCTTTTACACATTTTCTTCAAACCCTGTTTTGAGGCTACCAGTGGAAAACACCGACCGGTCGGTGGTCGGTGGGGTCGGTCTTTTCCGAAAACCCCTATTTGGAAGTGATTGCTTTTTCTAATTTGCTTAAAATCTTGCAAGCAAATGGACGCAAAACAAATAATCTAATTCTTATGGTCTAGTCTAAATTAGTGCGTTTGTTCATTTCCCGCCCGCCGGGCATAGAAGATAATCATTCATTTTCAGTTATTCATGTTCTTTCTGGTCAAATGTAGAGAAAAGTACACGTCCATTAATTCTCACGATTTCCGCTAAGTCAAATAACCATCATATTTGTAATGTGTGTGGGGTTGGTGTAAAAACCGGTAACAAGGGGACTGGGTACCAACTATGTTTCCATTGAAAGCGTCAATGCGTACAAAACATTTTCCAATTAATCTAGGTAAATTAAAGCCTACGGGGAACTGAAGTTGGAACTATACGTAATCATGTATAAACTAGAAAACTGGACTGGGAAATCAAAGGTCGAATGGTTTTTCAATAAAATATATTCTAAAAACTCTTGACACCCAGTAAGTCGTAGGGTCGAAGGGTTTTTAGTACATCCCTTTCTTGAATGAATTGGAAGACTCTGGAATGCTACGGCCAATTGTTTCAAAACGCAGTTGCCAACTTTATATCCTTACGCTACTCATAGATGCATTGTCCCATTGGAATTATCTCATGGATAAACATTGATGTCTCATTATAATTGCTTATGTAGTATCTTACATACCTTAGATATATCCTCAGACCAACTACGGGTATAATATTCAATTGCGAGAAAATCAACAACCAACTGTCAGAATTGAACACAACGAGTCAGGAATACCCGTCAAGTGACACGCGTGTCGGTGGACTGTCGGCACATGCAATTTTTGAAAAATGTCTCAAATAAGTTTTCGGTCATCATAAATAGTTATTATCCCATCGAACGAAGTTCGGAGGGATATAGGGAACGCCTCCGTCCGTCCGTACGTCCGTCCGTCCGTCAGTCCGTCCGTCCGTTCGTCCGTCCGTCCGTCCGCCCGTCCGGGCAATAACTCAAATACCGTTGGCCCGATTTTGTTTATATTTTGTACACATATACCCTATGGGGGTAGAAGTTCTGCTCAAAATCCGATTTTCAAAATGGCCGCTCATTTCAAAATGGCGGCCATTTTAGTGCCAATTTTACAGTAATTTAGGTGCAATATGTAAAACTGTAATAGCAATATGTTTTAAATGTAAAAAAATTATAAAGGACATTAATAAAGCTACAAATGTAGATATTAAAAAAGCACATGGCAGCCATCTTGAAAAATGGCGGCCTATACTTGTTATTTTACGATTTTTGCTGTAACTCAAAAAGTAGTGGAGCGATTTTGTTCATATTTGGTATGTGAATATTATAAACATTGCACACTGTCTAAAGACACTTTTGGTAGAAGGTGGCCATTTTGAAAAATGGCCGCCATTTTAACGTATTTTACTATAACTCGAAAAGTAGTGGAGCGATTTTGTTCATATTTGGTATGTGAATACTATAAGCATGGCACACTGTCCTATGACACTTTTGGTAGAAGACGGCCATTTTGAAAAAAAATTTGAAAAATGGCCGCCATTTTAACATATTTACTATAACTCGAAAAGTAGTGAAGCGATTTTGTTCATATTTGGTATGTGAATACTATAAGCATGGCACACTGTCTAATGACAATTTTTGTAGAAGGTGGCCATTTTGAAAAATGGCCGCCATTTTAACGTATTTTACTATAACTCGAAAAGAAGTGGAGCGATTTTGTTTATATTTGATATGTTTCATATTTTTTATATGTGAATACTATAAGCATGGCACACGGTCTAATGACACTTTGGGAAGTAGGTGGCCATTTTGAAAAATGGCCACCATTTTTACGTTTTTTACTATAACTTGAAAAGTAGTGAAGCGATTTTGTTCATATTTGATATGTGAATACTCATGAGCCTTGCACACTGTCTTATGACACTTCGGATAGTAGGCAGCCATTTTAAAAAATGACTGTCATTTTTACATTTTTTACTATAACTCAAAATGTGGTGGAGCGATTTTGTTCATATTTGATATGTGAATTCTCTAAGCATGGCACATTGTCTAATAAAACTTTGGGGAGTAGTCGGCCATTTTTATGTGTGTTATTTTACAAGTACATGTGTGCGATTTTTCAAAAATGTTATAGGTGGCTAGTGGCTACTTAAAAGCATATTATTTCTTCTGATGACAACTTGGCTAGTGAGCAACCATTTTGAAAATGGTGGCCTTTCTGGTGTGTTGTTTTGTTTTTATATTTGATATATATTTCGTTTGTAAAAATGCCAGCCATTTCTGTTCGATGGGATTCGCTACGCTTTGGCGTTGCCGTTGTTCTGGTTTGAAAGCTTGAAAATGAGCATTTTCATAATTATATATAAACAGTATTTGAAATTTTGCATAAAGCCTATCAAAATTAAAGGTTTATACTGTTATGGAGTCTTTTAAGACATTAAGAATACGCATGTCATTGAATGCTCAGGGCGAAAAAAATTAATATGAGAATCATTTCGAAACTTACTCTGGACTCATCTATAGCTCTTGTCTTCTTTATGATAGACATTAGGAGAAACCTGTGCCCGCCAACGAGTAACAAGATGGAGGTGCATGGTCATATGTGCTATGAGTTCTTCCAGCAACAGAGTACAACCCACGATCAAGCCCAGACTGCATGTGAAGTCAAAAAAGGATGGAGTATTGCCGTGGTCGCAAATCACCAAGTGTTGAATATTATCCGAAATCATTTGAATCTCCAGATCAGATCATCTCAAAAGTATTGGGTAAAAGGTAAATGTGTACTACATAGGCTATATAATGTATTATTATATAACAATGTTTAAAATTGTAAGAACTGAACTCGACCAACGCTTGTTTGTAAAGTCACAAGTGGGTTGTTTCTAATTCCTAAAACCAAGGCCAAAGGTCGAGGTTACGGAAGGATCGACCGATACACGATAGTCCACGGTATGAAATTTCTAGGACGTCTAATTAAGGAGTTGGTGGCACCATATATGCATAATGATATTTGAGCTTATATTTAGATACCTACATGTGTCCCGCGTTTTATTTTTGTATAGCCGTGATAAATACGGCGGGCTTTTAGGCCGAATAATACATGTCATTATCAGGGGTCAAAAAACGTGTAAAACGTTTTTCGTATTTTTTTCATAATTTAAAGTAGAAACATTAAAAGAAAATCACATGAAAATATTTTTAATATATACATCAAGTTTCTTGGCTATAATTTTGCGGTATGTGTTCCTTGAAATACCTTATATATAAAAAATCAAGGTTTCAACATTTTATGTCGTTTTGGAGATAATGGTGAAGCAATCAATATATTGGCACCTTTATTACCTGTGAATAACATATGGTTATAATATGTCAGTGTTTTACTAAATTAGTTGTAATACATTTTGAGATATGGACAGCCGTATTCAGGGGTCAATTGCTAATAAAGGGAGACTCGTTGTTCTTCCTTGTCTAATACCGTCTGCGATTGAAAATTGTTGCATATGGTTGAACATGAATTGGTTGCTTATATAAGGACCATATCTTCAACATTTGACTACATGGATCTTTGAGAAATGTCGGCAATAATGTAAAAATGAATCGATGTAATGCATCGCAGTGACAAATATAATTGTTGTTATATTATTCTATTTGTTACACAGTAATAAAAAATCAGAATTCTGAAGTAACAAAACATGAACGCACAAGTGGAAATGGAAAAGGCACAGCAACAAATGGAATGTGTTCAAGAGTATACTAATATAAGGGAATATCAAAGCATTAACATGCAAAATGCCAACGCATATTCGTTACATACACCGAACGCCGAATATGTACTGTCAATGGACTTTATGTTGGAAACTATAACAATATGTCATACCACTCTTGGTAGTGACATAAGAAACACTAACTAGCAATCCCAAAGTCAAACGTCTATTAACCCCTCCCGACCCACGAGCTAAGTATAAACATCATTCCCAGACCATTACACCAAGTATCACCTTATTATACTCGAGTCATTACAACACAAATTGAATAAAAATACAAATTGTGAGCCAATACTCATAACAATACTAATAGTATATTAGATATACAATATTTAGAATTTGGTCTTAATGCTTTGAGATAGATATTATAATTCGTTTAACATTTAAAAGGGTCAGCATCCCACTGCAAACCTAAAGCCTTCAGTTTTAGCAATTTAATTGACAATGCCTAAAATAATCCCCACATCCTTCAGCATCTCGAGTACATAAACTTAAACGGTCGCAAAATCCAGAAATTATTTTACAAAAAGGAACACTGTTCATTAAACAAAACAAAATACCTCAAATAAAAATCAGTGACTATAGCATTTGGATTCACTCGCATAAACCAATCCTGTCATGAAAGCTCTTATATAGATTATAAATCACAGGTAATATTGCCTAACATATTTGTATTCGCAAAAAAGTAACATCTCACATGAAAAAATCAAAAACATAATAGCCTCATGAATATACTCACAAACACGAATACCTCACATATAAATCGTAACTGATATAACAACTTCTTCAGTATAGTATATTCCTCGCTTATGATGTGGTACTGTATAAAATGCACTCAAAAAACCTAATACTCCACATCACGCGGTACTAACTTCGACCGTTAATTTGAATTTTTGACCTACCAGGTGCTTGAAAATCAAGGATTGCGAGTCTCATACTGCACCGTTTTCTTCAAACTTATACCATTAAAAGCAAAACAAAATTGCCTCTCTGTCGGTGCATTACTTGATTGTAAAGAGTCCCTCGTTCACGCAGCGTTTTTGGCTGGAAGTAGGGTCTCTTATTAAGAGAAAAATGTACCATCAGAAAGGGATTTTTGTTATGCTTTGAATGGAACAAGTTTGAAGAAAAACGGTGCAGAATGAGACTCATAATCCTTGATTTTCAAACATCCGGTAGGTCAAAAATTCAAATTAACGGTTGAAGTTAGGACCGCGTGAACATAAAAACTTGGATTAATCAAACGTTATAGGATGCGCCTCACATAAAAATCAATATAGCATCATTTGAAAGGAATACCTTTTATAAAATTTCAAATATTATCACTGCTACCCACCTAGTTACACAGAGGTATCGTCAGTGTATCATGGCTGAACTACTTCCGGGATTTGAATTTGGTAAGATATTTTTATTTCTCGATTTAAATCTACTTATAAGTCACGATGTGGATTATACGAGTAATTTGGCTCGAAGTTATGGGAGATAATCTAGTTTGAGAATGTGTCGATGGTTTTAGGTTTGGTATGTTAACGAAGACGCATTTCACATATTTAGTCCCTCGCTTTTGTTACACCGATGACCGGCATTAATATTGCCAATATCACACTGATATTGGTCGTTCGTCAGTGTAACAAAAGCGAGGGACTAAATACCTGAATTGTGTCTTCTAAAACCTAAAACCATCGACACATTCTCAAACAAGACTATCTTCCTTAACTTCGAGGCAAATTATTATCCACAACGTGACTTATAAGTAGGTGTAAATCGGGAAATAAAAAAATCTTACCGAAACCTAGTCCCGGAAGTAGTTCCGCCATGATACACTGACGATACGTCTGTGTAACTAGGTGGGTAGCAGTGATTATACAGAATATAAAAGTTAAAAGAAACTTGTACTCCCCTAAAATAAATTGTATGGATAGTACTTACAATTAGCAACAACCCGGGGACAATGACTACCACTCCACATAAAACATTAACAATGATATTGAACTTCTTCACTACTTCTTCAGCATAGAATTTAGTCAGAAATGAGTAATACATGGTATTCAAGTATAAATTAAATTACCTCCTTCATATGTGACATATAATTTCACCCAGAAACTAGTTTTTCTAGCAATACCCGATATAAAGACAAAAGAGATATAGCCTGGGAGTAGCCATTTTGTCCCAAATTCTATCCAAAATGTCATGAATATGTACGCACAAGTGCCAAATGGGAAAGACCAAAAATGACAAAACATAGCAGGAAAATGAAATGTCTAAGATCTCATTGCCAAATGGAAAGAAAATCCAACTATCCCAAATCAATATACAACGTGAAAGGAAAATGTATCTTACAACACTCACAACAATTCGTAAAGTGCAATTCGCATGGCTTTGGCGACGAGTTTGTGCACAAATGAATAATGCCTGATTTGATAAAAAGTTACAAATTATAAAATGAAGTATGGGTTCCTAAAACTCGAATGGAAAGATCAGAAACGAGAGATGTTGGATTGCTGAAAAAATTGAGAGAACCGGTCTTACAAAAAATGATTCGATGTCGTCTTTAAATATCGGAGGCTCGTCAGAAAGATTGGATGTGTGCAACACTATAAATTTCTCCCAATTCCAATCGGGACTTTGCACGCGATGGGTGAGTTGATATGATTGATAGGGTCACACCTTGGAACAACGATACATATCGTGAACACAGATGATAAAATATAGATAGTCAATGAAATAAAATATAAATGAGTACCTTTAATTTCGTATAATTCACAATCTCGCCCTGCTGTCTCTAACGGTGTCACTCATCCATCACGAAGGTTGGTTCTGGTTCTTATTAATGACAGTATGGCTCTCACTTATAAATTTACATTTAGAATAGAACGAACATTTGTCATGTTATGATCGAAACAAAAACTAAATCTTGTCTTCGCAAGGGACAGTTCAAAAAACTAAATTACTATCTTGAATTTCACAAATCTTGCTCTACTGCATCAAATCGTCCTGAATATAGTCACTCGTCAACCACGAAAGTTGATTTCTGGTTTCTTAATCAATCATTCTAGCGTTCTCATTTATAAAACAATCGATAATTAAAACTGAAATATATTATAATGCATTCAATGTTTACTTTCTTACAACATTGCATGGTTATTTTATTGTGGGAGCACAGCATTGTGACACTATGATATTTGCGACGCATTTGACTGCGCCTTCTTTATTCCTCGATGCAAATCATCTAGTTTAAAAATGTAAACATTCCAATACCAAAATTAGATTAATTATTTAAATGATACACTCTTTATATTTTTATTTGATTACGTTTTGAATATCATTAACAATAATCCGTTGTTTGACCCTTGAAAACGCAAGAAATATTTCCGTGAGTATATTGTTTCTATAAGTACAAAACTAATATGTTACTAATTATAGATTTTCTGAATATTTCGCATAATTTGGTCACATCTGCTCTGTATTATTTTTTTCTAAATAATAAAACGTTGAAAAGTACCCTAGTGCAATGCACTAATTGAAAAATGGCATTTACGTTAAAATAGTATTATATTTCTATGTAATCCTAATCCTTTAAATTATACTAAAATGCGCATGAAAAGTTTTTATACCTCTTGTGATGACAGACATAATGCGACCCGAAAGCCTTAATATTTTTTACCAAATGGCATTTTAAAAGCATGAGGACATATGCCCCTCCCTAAATATCGGTTCAAATGTCGTTATGCATATATGGTGCCACGGATTTGTAATATCTTTGAGCCATACCATGGACTACGAGTGATATATTTTACAAACGAACCATTGAGTTCAGAATTACACAAAACTGTTTAATAACTTCATCCGTGGTCGTTCTCACTTCTAGTAGACCTTTTAATGCAGACAGATCAAGACAAATTGAAAACTGTGGTAATGCTTTGGATATGTTTTTAGTTCACCCAGACTTTGCAGACGAACTAGATGCCACTTGGTGTACTTACGCATTCCTTCGTTATACCTCTTATGGTGTCCCTGTCGCAAAGCTTGGGTACTATGAGCCATTGAAAGGGGAATATGATAAATGCAACCGGACATACGGCTATATATGTCAATATGGTACGTATTCAAATTCCATCGTGACTGCAATAAGTGACAACAAAGAACAAGAATGTGACTGGCGAATTGACGGGAATATTTTATCTACAAGCTTGTCATGGTTTCACTTACAATCAATTATTTTATCATCTTAGAACTGTATCCAGATTATTTAATATATACTTACTAAATATTGGTGTTATGTAAAATACCAAGAACTGAAAGGAGGTTTCAAAATGATTTCAAGATACTTTTATAAAAGTTCGGCTTCTCTGCATGTTAGGATTATCTTAATGGTGGAACAGTTGGTGAACTTTTCAATTTCAAAATTGTTTTTGAAAAGGTTTTGTTCGGAAATTGTGAATTTCTTTATTAATAGATATAAATGTTGGTGTCCCAAGTACCATTCATTTTAAGAAATATTTCCAGAGCCCATACCTGTCGCTGAGTGTGCAGCACTAGAAATACCAGATAACGGTTATATCAATGCCTCGGATAATCGAACTGTCGGAAGTGTCGCCACATTAGGATGTAATCCCGGGTACATTGACGTGAATGGCCAGGACACCGTCTCCAGAACATGTCTCAAGAGTGGCCTCTGGAGTGGACGATCCCCAGATTGCAAAGGTAGATACTTACACCGATTTAGACAATTTGACTTAATAATTGAATCGTATTTGAACGAATCATGGCCTCGGTATTTCCGCTGGAGCCAAATCAAAACAATCGAGTATAGTTTATATTTTTAAAGAGTTGCATGACTATCAGGCTGACTATGACTATACGTTTAAAGAAAGCCTGTCCAAGAGTAGCGGGGAAATGATGTACTGAAAAGTGCATTTAATTTCGTTTACATTTGACTAAAGTATATATGGAACCCTTCCGCAAAAACACACAAAATGACGTAGTTTTTGATAGCTCAAATACCAATTGACAAAATTGGCTCATATTAAATGCACCATTCAAAAGTTTGCGTGAGACCCCTCCCCACGCGGATGGGGTAAGGAATTTGATCCGCAATATTGCCCCTAGGGGTAGGAATTTGACGGAGACTTTCGTTCCGGGAGTGAGTAATTTGATTTGCATGTGCCCGGGAATGATAAATGGTAAATTCAGTGATCTAATAATCTCTCATGTCGAGAACAGATGAAAATACACTGACATACATGTCGGGGACAGTTTCAGGTGTGAAATTGCCGAGAATGACCCCTGGAGAGAGGAATTTTAGAATAATAGTGAGCGGTATTTGCTTATCGAGATTGTTTTCACCCTTCCTCCGAAAAAGTCGTTCTCCCGTGTTCTACCAGTATTCATAGCCTTGTCATAATTTAATATAGATGAATAAAAGTGAGGGAGTAACGAATTAAAGTAAAAAGCCAATATGGTTTGCCTTAAATGGGGGTCGTAAAATACGTCATTGCACAAATTATATTTGAACATGACTATATTCACGCCTTCTATGAACTGTAAACGTAGTCAACATTTCACCCGGGGTATATTCGTGAAGAATACCCCTGGTAATACGTGTAGCGTGTGACGTCATAACGGCGGGTCATAGTAATGGCGGACCATAATGAATATTCGGAACATTTTGGTGAGTTTTCATGTTCGGATCGTAATATAGACCTTGGAGCAGGGGTAATATCGTCGAATACACCCCTTATGGCAAGGCACAAAAGCGTTCGAACCCCTCACTCCCGAACGTTTGTTCCTAGCCCTGCGGGGTATATTCGACAATATTATCCCTGCTCTTCGGTCTATATTTCTTAATTTAATACGCAAGAACGTTTCATTAAATTAATTGTAGCACGTGTACTGGGCTTTCCGCAAATAATCTTATGACCATTTATGGCATCTCTCAACATTCACGGGCATTGGGCTGCCTACTAACAAGGAAAAGATTCGGAAGAAGGGCCCGGGAGTTGGGAATATTTGACCAGATTTAGTGCCCCCGAGTTGGGGAAATTAAAACATGTATTTGGGCTCAGGGTAAGAAATTAGACAGGCCAAATTTTGTTGTCAAATTCCCCATCCATGCCCGCGTGGTGGGATCTCACGCAAACCTTTGAATGGTGCATAATGCCTTTAGATCTCTGCTTCATGTGAAGAACCTCCTTTTTATTTCCAAATGAATGTCGCCAATTGAGTGATACTATCGTCGCTGACTGGGCATTTGATAAGTAGCTAAATCACAGCAAGAATGTTATAAAATTCATCAAACTTTTAAAAATAATAAGTTATGAATTCTATAGGTTTCACATTTAATAAAAAGGAAATGTCAGTTTTTCAGAGAGAAATTATTATGAAACTCATTTCGAAAAAAGGAAGAGATGTCATGTTTTTAAAAAAAACAAAGTTCGATTTCATTAATAAATGTGGATGCAAAAATTATTTCCAAAGTTATGTGCAAGCGCATTGAATCTGTATGAGGCAAATTAATTAAATCAGATCAAGCAGCATTCATAAAAGAACGACAAATGGCTGAAATTATAAGATTAATAGATGACATGATGTTTTATATAGAAGATGAGAATATAGGGGGCGCTTTTGTAGCTGTTGACTTTCTCAAGGCCTTTGATTCTCTAAGCCACGATTTTTTTTTATAAAAGCTTTAGAAAAACTAAATTTCGGAGGATATGTTATTTCATGGGTTAAAATATTGTATTGTAATATAACTGCCCAAGTTATGAATTTGGGGTTCTGCGGGGAAAAATTCAAAATAGAAAAGGGAATTAAACAAGGTGATCTATTATCACCAGTACTCTTCATCATTGCAGTAGAGTTTCTAGCCCAAAATATAAGAGATGATGTATTAATAAAAGGAATTCAAATTGGTAATAAAGAAATAAAAGTGAGCATATATGCAGATGATATGACATTGTTTGTTCGGGATAAAAACTCTATACTGCAGTCAATGAAAGTACTTGATAGCTTTGAAAAATGCAGTGGCCTTAAAACAAACTAGACAAAACTGGGCTCTTTACAATTCAATAGGAAGATTTAAAGATCAAATTTGAGACATACAGGGAGTTCATAAAGTTCTTGCAAAAGTACTCTTAAATTTTTGTTTGTCAGTCAATCTGGCTGAAATTTTTACTCAGTATACCTACACTATTCATACATTTGAATCTTAAATTATAATGAACAGTTTCCCGAAGAAAAGAAATTATGGTTGCTATAGAAACACGAGTCAGGGGTAGGCGGAGCAGCATTTAAAAAAAGAAAAAATAGATACAAAATATGAGTTAGAGGTAACTTTAACATATGTTTAAGTATACATGTAAATACAAACCAAGCTAATGTTGCGATGTCATCTTTGGGTGATGACATCTTAGTTGAAATTTTAATGATTCATGACATCATTGATGACATCATAGTGACTTATATTGGTTGATAACATCAGACTCTGTGAAAGGGTGTGTCCATTTTCATTTCGTGAAAATGGCTGCGAATTCAGCAAAAGATGATGATTTGCAATTACAAATTCTCACTTGCATCAGGATGTATGTTTTACTGGGAAATTCAACAAAACAAACACTTTAAGATACTCACTCATAAGGTGTACCACTAACAAATTGAAGATGGGTCGACATGATCAAGCTACCTATACTCACATGATGAGGCAACCCTTGGCTTTTTGGATAAAGAATGATCTTCGTGGAATTCGATTTCATCATTTAACCTTAGAAGAACTTATGGCATCCATACATGATCAATGGCCAAAAATTTGCCAACTGGGTTCCACCATCTGTTTGTGGGAAGGGTAGCTCAGAGCAGAGGTGTATAGACCATGATAGACACTATTTTGAGCACATATACCTTTGAGATACTGTCAGTGACAAAATGAAAAAACTTGTAAACATTCAAACAAAAAAGACTCTTTTTTGCCTGCTCCGCCTACCCCCGACTCATGTTACTATAGCAACCATACCTTTTTTTCTTCAGCAACCTGTTCATTGTAATTTAAGATTTAAATGTATGAATAGTGTAGGTATACTGAGTAAAAATTTCAGCCCGATTGAATGACAAACAAAAATTTAAGAGTACTTTTGAAAGAACTTTATGAAACAAGTTCAAGAAATTAAAATTCTTGGAGTGTATTTTAATTATGATAGAAAGCTCAAAGCAGAGAAAAATTTTAGGTCGACAATTAATCACCTTAAGCAGGTATTGAGCCTATGGCAAAGTAGAAAGGATGGGTATCGATATGGCGAACTTTTTGAACACACGTTTCTCTTAAACCAGTCATAAAAAAATTCTGAAAAATTTACACATTGTCAATTTAATGGTCATCTTTTGAATAGTAACAATATAATTGGAATATATATATATACTTTCATCGATATTGTTTTAGAAAACACATCAAACGCTTGTTTTGTTCTTGGTATCATGTTTCCAGAGTGAAATGAAACATCTTTCCGAACCTCATTGGAACAAAACGACATGAACACAACATGTTTAGGTCTCTCAATATTGTAATTGTACAAAGGAAATTTTGGTTCATTTTAAAAAAGTATCTTGTTAATGAAATAAAAAGTTTATCTTGATTTTTATCTATTTTGGGGGGATTTTGTTTTAATTTTTTGAATACTTTTTTAAAATGAACCAAAAATTCCTTTGTATAACTATAATATTGAGAGGTCTAAGAACATGTTGTATATGCTATTTTGTTCCAACAAGGTTCGGAAAGACATTTTATTTCATTCTCAAGAATTGGTAGAAAGGAGCAAAAACAATTGCACTAGAAAAGCGAAAAATGTTAACAAAAACATTTATATAAAATATTTCTAAATAATTTTCGCTTTAAATTGTTGTCAATCAGTCAAAATTACATAAAATACCGTGTTTTTTACAGAATATTTTCAATGATTGGTTTAAGAGAAAAACATTGTTGAATTCAGTTCTCCATATCGATACCACTCTTTTGACAATTTTAGGTAAAATATAGATCGTAAAAACTTTTGGGCTGTCAAAATTTAGCTTTATTAGTTCAGTTATCGAAACAGATGATTGTTATGTAAAGGAAATAAACGGAATTGTCTTTAAATTTATTTGGAACGGAAATGACAAGATTAAAAGAAAGGCAACTTATTTCAACAATTAAAAAAGGAGAACTCAATATGAGCGACCTCAAACCAAAATTCAAACCTCTCGATTAAGATGGGCCCAAAAGCTTTTAAAGGATACTAAAAAGGAATCACAATGGACAATTATTCCAAATCATTATCTCCATAAATATGGCGGGCTTTTACTTTTACTAAACAGCAATTTTGACATAAATAAGCTAAATGCAATTAGCCCAAGATTTTATCATAATATTTGAAAGGCATATACGCTTATTAGGAGACCAAGGAAAATGCATTGGATGAAATAATTTGGAATAATGAAAACATTGTCATCAGAAATAAATCAATATTTTGGAAGGAATTTTATGATAAAGGTTTTCTAAGAATCAAAGATGTTATGCTTAATGGAATGGTTAAATCATGGAATTAGGTCAAAATGCAAACTGGATCTCTCACACAATCATTTGCTAAAAATGGTTTGGCCTCATTCAGGCAATACCATCAGATTGGTTAAGAGTACCGAATGGAAATATGAATGACCAGGTATCTCTAGAGAATATAATGGTAATAAAAAGCGATACAGAAGTCAACTTTTTAAAATGACTGTACATCTAAAGAATTTTATAAAATATTGCTGGAAGCTATTGCAGAATATCCAACAGCAAAACACACTTTATCAGATAAATATCATATTAAAGAAGAAGATTGGTCATTTTACTATGAACACTTTCATAAAACCCTGACATATTCAAAACATAAGGCATTTCAATATAAGCTCTTAAACAATATTTTGTATACAAACAGTGAACTCTTTCAATACAAAATAACACCTTCACCAATGTGTGAGTTTTGCCATGCGAACATAGAACCTTGTGACCACATCTTCTTTAATTGTGAAACGAAACAGTTTTGGAAATCAATAATAGATAATATATTAAAAGATCTCGAAGAAATTTCTCTGCTTACAGTATTATTTGGTAGCCCAAATGGAGTGATTTTGAAAATATGGTAATTATTATAGGAAAGTACTACTTATATAATAAGAAAATGCAACAAGAGCCTCCAAATTATTACAACTTTAAGGCATATTTAGATTATTGTTTAAAAATGAAAATGGATTTTAACAGTATGATGGTATGAGTGGAGAATGTGAATGAATGGGTAATGGAGTGACTTATATAATTTTTTCACCTTTATGTATACATTTTAAGTTTGATGAATAAAAAAAGAAGAAAAAAGTAGCTATACGGAAGCTAGAAATGGAAAATTTGATTTTTGTAAAAACAATCGAAATAATAGTCTGTTCAACTTCAGATCCTAATATTTTTGTTCAAGATACTTATACTTAGATGTTATGGGTTGCATTTCATTCTGTTCAGATTTCAGACCTGTCGAAACCACAACTACACCAATTCCTACGACTTCGACTACAATGCCATTATTTCAACCACATAAAGGCGGTAGGGAATTCATTTATTTATTCATTTTTGTTCGTTTTTGCTGTTGATATTGTTTCGTTGGCATACAGTTCATCTATCACTACAAAAATGGATTTTTAGCTGTTGTCTCATTTATAACTGGAAATTTCTCGAGCTCTATTGTATAAAGCCACAATACAATTACATTCTGTAAATTTTTAGGAAATCGTAACTTTTCTTTGTGAATCATTAGCTAAACTGTTTTTCAACTCTCTAACTGACCATAGTTTGTTCTACAGCAAACGAGAGTTCCTGTGCAAAAGACAAGTATGGAGACAAGCCAACAGTCTATTTATATTGTAACCATGGAGAAATGATCAAGGTCACAAACGCAACATTGCATCCTGAGAGGACCAGCAAATCATGTGACGTTGAGAATACTCCAGATTGTACACATAATTTTACTGAAATAGCTGCTGCGTACTGTGAGTATAAAGAAATTTGCCGAATGCCAATACAGATGCAGAGCTATATCACTACAAACAAGGGGAACTGTTGTGAGGAAATCTGGTGTCACGAAATAGATTACTTTTGCGTAGAAGGTAAAATTGTCTTGTATCACGAAATATATGACATAAATCAACATACCAACTGTTAGAGATATGTTGTATGTATGAGTCAGTCTTTAATTTTATATTTAATTTTTAGTTCAGAATTAGTTGTAGATCTATAACATACATAAAATGCAAACCTACTCGCTTTGTCAAGAGTGTTAATTACCCCTGTTGTAATATCGTGTAGCTATGTGTAGAGAGCCACCATCTCCCTTGAACGGTACCGTAGTGAGAAAAACTCTTCAACCAGGAAAGAATGAGAGGTTCAACTCATGGGATAGAAATGGCCTGGCAACGTACACCTGTGACAAAAATTTTGAGTTGGTCGGCCAAGACATAAGGACTTGCGACCGTAGCATAACGTATCATTACGGTCCGCCTGAATTTGTGTTTAAATGGAATGGAGTAGCTCCAATGTGTAGTGAGTACAGTATTTCTGAAAAGTATCAAATTCAAAACAAAACTCATTTTGATTCACTAGATCACTTATTGATTTTGATAGGAGGGAGTGAACGGAGCATGTTTAAAACCGATGAATATGTATGAACGAGTGATCATACGTATAGGTTGGCGTTTCGATAATTCATATGCAAGCTTATACTCCCTAGTATTTACTAATGTTGCAGCAATTCATTATCAAATCAGTCACATACCAATATGAATAACTGCTAAGAGCTCAGGCATCTCAAACTCACGACATCATCTATAGCTCTTGTCTTCTTTATAATAGACATTAGGAGAAACCTGTGCCCGTCAACGAACAATAAGATAGAGGTACATGGTCATATGTGTTATGAGTTCTTCGAGCAACAGAGTACAACCCACGATCAAGCCCAGACTGCGTGTGAAGTCAAAAAAGGATGGAGTATTGCCGTAGTCAGTAATCCTGAAGTTTTGAATATCATCCGAAATCATTTGAATCTCCAGATCAGATCATCTCAAAAGTATTGGGTAAAAGGTACACGGTTACTACAGCCATTATGCATTTTACAAATAAATCCTCATCCGAACACAGGCCTCCAGAACTCGTACCTCCTACTCCTGTGTTTGGAGAATGCAAATATTGCATTGATCTTGCATTCACGGTTGGTTGCAAAGATATACAAAATAAATGTCCTTCAAATTCATAAACATTTTATCCTTATTGTCAGACCTTCCAATGCAGTAAAATCGGGACAGACGTTTGAGAAAAATGTTTAATTGTCAGACCATAATTTTTTTTCTTCAGTTCACCATGACATTGCAGCGGAGCTGGATGCCACTTGGTGCACTTACGCATTTCTTCAGTATGACCATTATGGTAGACCTGAGGGAAAGCTGGGGTACTATGCGCCTTTGGCAGGAGACGGTGATAAATGTAACCTACCATACGGCTACATATGTCAATTTGGTACGAAATCAATTTCACTTAACAGCTTGACTGCAAATGATAACAGCAAAGAACAGGAATGTGTAAATTGAGATGTTTTTGATATACTCTTTTAATGTTAGTTAGTTAGTAAAATATTTATTGAAGTCTCACACTGTAGTTAAAAATATACTAAAATATCATACAATAATTAACATAGAGACTCAAGAAAGCAATGTAAAAATATATCAAAAATATTCCCAGATGTAAAAGTTTTAAATATCATATTCTCTTCTATTGCACATTATTTTATGTATAGTTTTTGCCAATGGTCTTTGTAATAAATCAAGCATGTAAGGGCAAAATCACAATCAATCGCAATCCTTTTCTTTTCATGAAAAACTGCTTAGATGTACAAGTATCTAATTAAATATGACAGTTGTGGAAAATACCATGCAGAAATGTCTATATTCACAAGTACGAAAAACACGCCCAGTGATAGGAAAGAAATGAACAGGAAGTCCTTGTTGAGAATCTTGAAATATTTCTTAGGGGTGTGTTCACCTTGCATTTCGGGCTCAGAAATATTATACAGATATTCAACTCCACATAATTCAATATTTGTATAGAACGTGACGTGATTATTTCGCGATTTCCACGTATCCCATCCTTTGATATTTCCTTGAACTGTTTTTCTATTATGGCTTATATTATATCAAAGTGTTCGTCTTTGAATTGCCTTCCATAGGTATGGTCGTTTTTTGTTTACGAGAATATGAAAGAATATTTGTCATGTCAACGTTTGTATAAGACGTCAAAATCAAAACGTAAGGTATCACGCGTAACAAATGACGACAAGGAAACCTGCTCCAAAAGGGCTATCCTTAAAGATAACCAACCAATAATTTTCATTTTTGGCTATAGTAGTCCCAAGATTTCTGGTACTCTTATTACTTCATAATGATATCATCGGAGGGATATACACAATTAATGCTGGACTGCATCAAAATTGATATAATTTTCCGTTTTTTGAAAGTTACAAGATTTATGACGTCGTTCTGAATATGGTTCATAGTATTGGCAATTTCAGACGGCTAATTTTTGTATATATTGTTGGAATCAAATACATTTATTCATTTTAAGAAAATATTTTCAGAGCCTGTGCCTGATACTGAGTGTGCAGTACTAGAGACTCCTGAAAATGGTTACATCAATGTCTCCAGTCAAGCAATCGGAAGTGTCGCCATATTAGGATGTAATCCCGGGTACATTGACGTGAAGCATCGAGAAACTCTCTCAAGATCGTGTCTGCAGAGTGGCTTCTGGAGTGGAAAGTCTCCAGATTGCATAGGTAGGCAAATGTATTTATGCCGGTTACACATGTAACAGTCGTGTGGTTCGCGATGTGAGAACTCGAATCGCTAGTGAGAAATAATTTCGGGAGAGAACTGGTTGTTCGCGCCTAGAGAACCGATATTCGCGCTGTGAGAACATTGGTTCGTATGGAAGGAACAAGGTAAGCGAGGTCGGAACTGAACCGCGTGAGTGGACGTCTATGAGGCCTTAATTAAAGATTCGTGAACGTCAATTTTGTTGAAAAACTCAGGGCTTTCATTGGGAAATAGGAGTGCATTGTGGGTCTGCGCATGCGCATATAAAGAAAAAAGTGATGTAACAAATGAATAATGGTGGGGACTAAGATTTTGAAAGAAAACATTCCACCGATATAAACTTCATATTCCCAGTTTGCTGCAGAGACACCAGTTGACAATATGTGCAGACATCGTGTCATATGGTTGACTGTGGCTGGGAAAATAAGCTATAAAAAATATATTCCAATTGAATTTAACAAATGATAGGCTGGCGACGACAACTTTGTTAACTCTTTTCGTGGTAGTAAGTAACTGTATATCAACCGAGACAATGTTTTACCCTAACAAGATCTGGTATACTGGTAATTTTTCGGATGACGTCAATGTTGGGTGTCTGTGTGAAATGAGACGATTGAAATTAAATACAGGGTGGTCCAAAAAATGGGACACTCGTATTTAAAAAATAAATATTGATTTTCTTGATAAAAACATGTCATATTATATACCAGTGGATAGGGAATTTACTTATCTTTAATTTGGTATATCATAAGTTCAAATTTATTATAATGTCTGTCGACCAGCGTCCGTTATATAAATGATGTCATTTTAGTTTCAAAATGGGTTTTCCAAAACTTGCAAAAAACAAGTTTTACACAAACAGACGTTCAATATGTCCACCATTTTGATCAATAATAGCCCTCAATTTTGGCCTAGGCGGGTCAAAAACATCATTGATATTCTGTTGGGACAATGAATTCCACTTCTCAACAAGTCTATCCTTACTTAGGGACTGAGTATATGTAAGGGGTTTATGGTAAACCAATTCTGTGGGTTCAATTCTCCAATATGTGGTAGTCACAGACGTTGACATCGCATTATCCAATTATGTTGTTTTTAGACCATCCTGATATGAGCTCATTCTCGAATCATTACATTTTCCAACAAGATGGGCTCCATTCCATAGATCCCACAAGAGTGTCAAATTTTTAAAGGAAATGTGCCTAGATTTATCCCCCCTGATCACTACCCCCAGGCGACCCGATCACCCTACATGATAAACTACCACAAAAATGGGGTGTTGGTGTACCATGAATCCTTTACATCTATTCGGTCTCTTAGGATTACTGAGAAGTGAAATCCATTGTCTCAACAGCATATCAATGATGCTATTGGCCAGTTTAGGCCAAAATTGAGGGGTACAATTGATTGAGGGGTACAAATGGTGGACATATTGAACGTCTGTTTATGTCAATAAAATTGACAATAAAACTTGTTTTTGCAAAACCCGTTTTGAAATGAAAATGAAGTCATTTATATTATGGACGCTGGTTGACAGACATTATAATAGATTTGAACTTATGATATACCAAATTAAGGATCAGTAAATTCCTTATCCACTGGTATATAATATGACATGTTTTCATCAAGAAAATCAATATTTATTTTTGAAATACGAGTGTCCCATTTTTTTGGACCACCCTGTATTAAATAAATCAATTTTTAGATACCCTCTCCATTTCTTTTCAACAAAAGAATGTCAACCGAAAGGAAATCTCAATTATTATTTCTAAAATAATATCAAATGAAGTTTTTAGATATACATTTTCTTTCAACTATATTTTTCAATGAATTAGATATATCAATTTTTTGTTATAACGCTTATCTGACATCAGGTACTTTTTCATACTTTTTTCAGATTCCCAAGTAACAACTTCACCGACTTTACAAACACCAACTACAGAATCACAGACTAAGCCAGTACCCAACGCAACGAATACTACAACAACGCCATTTGTCCTTAAAAGTCCATCTCCGAATATTGGTGCTTTAAAAGAGCAAAATACTGGCCATTGTAAGTGACAAATGACAAATTTTTGCTATTGGGTACAAATAACCGACCTTTTCATATATTTCCTTTTTTGTTTGTCTTAAATGTATCAATGACCTCAGATATTTAAAATTGTAAAATTCCTGAGAGGAAAGGGAGTATTTTTCGTGTAACACTTACAAGCCACTGAAATACGACAGAAGTGCCAATTGCAAGAAATCAAAATTTTCTTAATTTAATAAATTAGAGGGAAGGATTCTTTAGAACCCTATTATGCAAAACAAGCCCTTTTATTTTGATTTTTTTCACTGACACCGAAAATTTATCTCGGGGGTCCCCTAAAAATTAATTTAAACTCAATTCAGTAAAACATTCCATTCAAAAGGAACATTCGCTGGAAATGCCTGGTGTCATTAATGTTAGCCAAGAAATCATTCACATTCGATGGAAGCAAAAAATGGAATGAAAAATCTCCGTTGTCTTAACTTTAGTCGAGTGGAAGTATATGATCTGCTTCATTCTTAAGTTGGCAGGTTTAAATTACATTGGGGGAATACAACGTCATGTAGCATCCCGGGGATGAGTTGTCTAGGGGATGAGTTGTCCAGGGATGAGTCGTCTATGGGATGAGTTGTCCGGTTACCGTTACATATAGTCTTCATTTTCTAGCTCCCGAGTCGCTCGGTGCAGGAATTGGTATAGGAATTGGCATATCAGCTGTTGTTGCTGCAGGGATTATTGTATTCCTATTGTACAGGTAAGTTATTGTATTTCTTATGTACATGTAAGCTATTGTATTTCTATTGTACATGTAAGTTATTGTATTTCTTATATACATGTAAGCTATTGTATTTCTATTGTACAGGTAAGTTATTGTATTTCTTTTATACATGTAAGCTATTGTATTTCTATTGTACAGGTAAGTTATTATATTTCTTATGTACATGTAAGCTATTGTATTTCTATCGTACAGGTAAGTTATTGTATTTCTAAGGTACATGTAAGCTATTGTATTTCTGTTGTACAGGTAAGTTATTGTTTTTCTTGTGTACATGTAAGCTATTGTATTTCTATTTTACAGGTAAGTTATTGTATTTCTTATGTACATGTAAGCTATTGTATTTATATCGTACAGGTAAGTTATTGTATTTCTAAGGTACATGTAAGCTATTGTATTTCTGTTGTACAGGTAAGTTATTGTTTTTCTTGTGTACATGTAAGCTATTGTATTTCTATTGTACAGGTAAGTTATTGTATTTCTTATGTACATGTTAGCTATTGTATTTATATTGTACAGGTAAGTTATTGTATTTCTAATGTACATGTAAGCTATTGTGTTTCTATTGTACAGGTAAGTTATTGTATTTCTAATGTACATGTAAGCTATTGTGTTTCTATTGTACATGTAAGCTAAATGTGTTTTTTGATAAGAAATGTTTTTTAAAATAATATAATGTATTTAAAGGCCTGTCACTATTACGTGAAATCTGCCAGAGTTCTGCCAATAAAGGCCGACCTTGGGAGGCTCTATAATACAAATAATCTAATCTATATTATCTATTATAATAATATATCTGCCTGAGGGCGTTATTAGGAACAAAATCACAAGTTTAAAAATGGACTACTGTATATAGGGATCATACCTTTTGGCGGATGGATATGGATACTCACACCATATAGGGGTAATCGCACAATGCCGGTGAATATAACCCGCTAACTTTCCCATTGACTTCCATACAAATGCTTCGCTAGGTATGTAATGCAAATATGTAATCGTCAAATTTTACTCCAAAATAGGTGTCCAAACTTTAATAAAAGCTAAATGTGTATGTCTTAATATAAACATTAATAAAGTTGTAAAATTTTAAAGAATTGCTGGTTATCTTGAGAGTTATTTTGCGAAAGTAGTCACCCCAAAAGTAGGTAGGGCAAAATGAACAACCAGCCACTGGTGGTGAAACGGTAACTACCTTCTCGGATCTGGTCAATTGAAATGTTTCTCGTTGTAATGTAGACATCTTCAAATCTTTGTATCTTAATTTTTTATAACAAAGTTGCTATGTCGGAAACATCGATACACATATTTATCGTGTGATCCGTAAAATGAAGCCCTCTGATTGGTCTGTTCTTGTGCTGTACCAATCTGTATTGCTACTGAGACTGCCCACATTGTTCATCTCCGTAACAATACAGAAAATATTGGCACTGAGGGGACAATCTCAGTAGCAATACAGAGAATATAGAATATTTCTTATGGATTATCTCCTAAGCAAAATGTATTGGCGTACGATCTCACGATAAAAACGTTATTGAATGATTTGAAGTGCAATATAGGATATATTCTGTATCGATATTCTGTATTGGCACTCGACTTCGTCTCGTTCCAATATAAAATTTCTCGAGCAGAATATATCCTATTATGCACTTCAATTCATTAAATAACTTATAATGCTAATATATATTAACGTCTGTCGCACATTCGGCGTTAATTGATACCCCGTTTTCTGTCAGCTCTGGCGTTTATAAAAGCGCTAATGAGTAAATATTATGGTTTACTTTTGATGATGTAGAAATTACCAAGCCGTTGATGCTCTACATAAAGACACTATAAAATTCATGTTGAAGAACTGAATATGAACATTTGTATCGTCGTCCATTCTGATACGCATAGCACCTCTCTCCGTTGCATCACAGATACTCTCCAGAAGGATAGAGATGGAGAGGGCGTGGCTTACCAAGATGGTCGTCGTTCGTGATTTGCCGCTTTTGGAAAACTGAATGCAGACATTACAGCATTAGAATCATCTGTGTGAAATTTCTATTTGAGGATTGAGTTCATACACTTGAATCCTCATTGTTAAAGTTACATCAGGAAACTGAACGTGGAGATGTGTATTAACATTAATTAAAGTTAATTTAGAGGACTGGTTGTCGTAGATACTTGTATAATCTATCTTAGTCTTACGATAGACAAATTAGTGTGGACATTTGTATCATTGGTGTTAAAGTTCCGGTAGAAAACTAAGTATGTGTGGACACTGCTTCCATGATCGGTATTAAGTTACGTTGAGAACTTAGTGTGGACTTTTGTATCATTTGTGTTAAGGTTACGTAAAAATACTTAAGGTCTGGACACTTGTATCATCCTGTTAAAGTTACGTTAAAGAACTTAGTGTGAATATTTGTATCATTGGTGTTAGACCTACGCTCGAGAGCGTAGGGTGGACAAATGTATCGTTGGTGTTAAAGTAACATTAGATAACGGAATGTGATACTTGCATCGTCACCTGTTGGAGTTAGTTTAGAGAACAGGACATAGACACGAATTTTCAGACTGAGCATTAACGTGAAAGATAACTAAATAACACCTACATCGTAAGTGTTAAAGTTATGCCTAAGAGAACCGAATGTGGACGACACTTATGTTCGTTCAATGCCATGTATATTTCGTATTCTATCATGAGCAATCATGCACTTTCCATGAATTTTTGGGTCTACAAGAATTACTTTGAAATGTGTAAATGTCTTTGATTCAAAACACAACTTCTTCAAGGATGCCTTTCCTGAATGATACATTGTCATCTCAAAATCAAACCCAAGACAGTAGACATTTTGAGGCTGGAAATGAATCGACATCAACTGTTTTTGTGAATAACCTAACAGTTACAGAGGTTAATCAGAATCATGAATCGCTGGTATTTGAGCCGTTGGTGGTATTCATGATAACACTCAATTGTTTTCTATCATTGTTGATATGCGGAAGTAATTTACCAGTACTGGTAAGCATCCTTTCATTTAAAACGCTGCGTACGGCGAACAATATGTTCCTTCTGAGTCTAGCAATAGCTGATATTTGTATTTGGGTAGTTGTTCTACCATTAAACATTATCAACCGTTATATGACCCCATTCATCTTTGAAGGGGTGATGCAAAATGAAAACATCTGTATCGCCAAGTGTTTCTTTAATGTGTGTCTATCGGGTGCATCTCTTTTCAGCATGGGTGGTATCGCGCTAGATCGTTACGTTGCTGTAACAAGACCCTTAAAATATAAAGTACTTGTAACACGCACACGTACATTGTGGTTCATCACACTCGGTTGGTTTTATTCCATTGTCGTTGGTTCCAGCTTCATGTTTTTCAGACGTGGAGCCCATTTTGACGAATATAACGTCGAATGTGTGAAACAAGTGTTCACTCGTGGATACATGATTTTTGTGAACGCGAATATCTTTGTTCTTTTTGTGATCATCTTGGTTTCACACATTGTCGTGGCAGTTGTTGCAGTCCAACAACGTTCGAAGTGTATTCAAAGACTAACAAGAGTTAACAATACTCTTGCAGTGAACTATTTGAAGGAGAGTCGGTTGGTAAAAACAATAACTTTGGTAGTAGTGTTGTTCGCACTCTGTTGGTTGCCAGGTACATTCACTACTCTTGCGAGGTGGATCTCTCGCGACAACAACGAAACCGTGCGTTTGTTTAACACGTGCTTTAGATTACTGTTGTGGTCTAATAGCGCCATGAATCCATGGATATATGCTTTTAGAATCAGAGAGCTAAGTAAAGCGATGAGGCGTGTTGTCTTGTGTAGATTCAGGAAACATCAAACGTCAAATTCACGTCAAATGCACGCGGCTGGTGGACAAGGGGACATTATCGAAAGTACTTTTGTGTAAAGTATACATTCTTTTATCAATTTGTGCACGTACACCGTGGTTGCTTATTTCTTGCTTTGTAAAAAATAGTTAGATAGTCCGATAAAAAATCATTGGGTCAAAACGGTCATAAGCAGGATTAAAGGGAGACCGCTGTTTTGAAGTGTCTAAATACTTTCAAAGCATTCGATTGTCTCTCCAGATTTACTCTATAAACAACTCGCGGGCCTTTGCCCATTAACACTTTGAGAATCATACGTTTGCTAAATTTACTTAGAGCATATAGTGGTGCATTACATACTTAGAGAAGCAATAACTGGAAGTCAATGGGAAAATAAACAGGCTATATCCATCGATATTGCCCGCTTACCTCGTTTTGATATTAAATTTCTTTAATAACCATGCCAATATCACTACCTCATCACCCTGCGCACCAGGTCTAGTTATAAACATATACAAAGACGAAGCTCTCTTTTCAGGGTACATGTTTTATTTCCGCCAATTTTTTCTCGCATATAGATGTGTGACGTCATTGATACAAAGCTTTGCTCTTGGCCAAATATACAGGGTGTCAATTTGCGCTGTGACCCCCCCCCCCCCCCTCCACAGCCAAAACCTAGTAAAGCACCCAGACAAACTATATATCAAATTAAAGCTCATTTAATTCTGGATCAAATGACCTACACTTGACATTGGTAAGACATTGCTATAAATTGTTACATTGTTTCTAGTATGCCTCCCATATGCCCCTTACATGCCCCTATTAGGCTATGCCAGTTCAGTCATTCTTGGTCAAAAAGTCAACATGGCACCAAGGTGGGCATACAGACTTTTAATCACCAGGCCAGATTATTTGCCAACATTGTGAGTAGAAGTCTGAAACTTTCAGCATTTTTCCAGAATTAAATAGGCTTTAATTTGATATATAGTTTGTGTGGGTGCCTTCTCCGGTATTGGCTCTGGAGGGAGGTCACAACGCAAATTGACACTGTAGGGCCTCATAAGGTAGGCCTATATTGGCAGAACAGATATATTTTATGAAATAGAACGAACCTCTAAATATGTCACTCTATAATTGTTTATTTTTAATATGTTTGAAGACTTCATTCAAAAACTCAGAAATTCAACGCAAGCCAAATGAACAATGAAGAACCGACATTTGACAATATAGTTATGCAAAACGATGCTGGCAAAGCTCTTCCGATGGATACGGTGGTTGGAACGGGCGATAATACCGGGGTCACTGAAAATGACAAAAAAGGACAGTTCTCCGAAAAGGATTCAAATAACCCGTTCAGTAGTGAAGTGTAGTGATGAAATACAGGGACCTGAGCTTGAAGGAAATGTAAAATGTCACTCGACTTTTTTGTGATTTTGAAGTCATGTCTGCACTTCAGTTCAAAATCAACTTCTGTAGTATTCCGACATCACCTCTTAATTTGCCTATTACTGTTATTCTCTCAAAATCAGGAAATAAGTGTGATGCGCGGGGAAATTTTGTAGGGAATTTCAGTCACACAAACTAACGAGTGACATCTTACACTGCCACCGAGTGTATTCAATTTCTCAGAAGGACGATATGGTATCGAGATGGGGATGCCCCATACGTACGCCTACGTGTATACGTATGTACTTACTGACATGAACTAGTTTTGTAAATACAACGTTCTTTAGAACGGGAAGTTATTCACTTTAGTCTGCCTCGGTTTATTAATAGTCCGACCAGAATAAGAACCACATAACAAAGAATATCATACAGATTTTTCATGGCGTGTAAATTGTAAAAAGTTGTAAAACGGTTGTTAGCCCTATCGGCAAAAAGTATTGTTCATTATGTAATTTATAATAAAATTGCGTGATTACTAGTATTTATTTTATCATCTCTATGGGTGCTTTTCCTGGAGGTAATGCATTGGCCTAACATATGCACCTGTTTAAATCCTCAGAAAATAGCCAAAATCCATCATATGACTGTCCGAAATCTGTTGCGATACTTTCCGTTCTTCTTTTACATTTCCAAGATCCAAAATATTTTTAATCAATCATATTCACAAAGTTCATGCTGAACCATTCATAAAAGAAGTTGTAAATAAACCTAAAACATCCGATTTATTTAAGGATTATTCCAAAACAAGAGCAACTATGCACGAACAAATCACAACACACAGACATAATATAGTGTAGACATTCAAAGATTTAGAAATTGGGATGAAATTTGTTATGTTCATACTTTGTCCCACTGGGTGCCTCGTTTTCAAATTTGAGGCACCGAATTTAAAACCCCTAAATAAATGTTTTGTTTTCTTCATTATTAACAAATGTTCCAATTTATGTTGATCACCCTGTAAGATGCTATAGTTATGATTCTATTTGCTGTAGCGAGTAGCAATATGTTTGAACTTTACCCAATTATCCTTGTCCTTATGAACTTATTAAGTCTGGTTCACCTGGGCAGTTGGATGTATAGCGTTTGGACGCGATTTACCAACAACAAGGCATACAGTAACCATAGCAATTGCTACAATGATGACCACGGCTCCAACGCTCGTAGCGATGACAAAGTTCAGATTGCCCGTTACCCCTGGCTCGCTGCCAGCGGTCACTGCAACAGTGGCTGTACTATCTGATGAGCGAGCCATTGTCTTGAAGAAACATGGTACATGTTATCTCTCGGAAAAGCGTACGTCGGAGAAGATTTTGTGTTTTCAGTTAATAAATGTGGAACACTAACCTTGTATTCGCAAATGCAACTAACGCCCGTCGGCTACCGGATTAACCTACTATGTTATGACCAACTCATTTAGATATGAAAGGAATAGTGTCAACAACTATTCATATTTAAATGAGTTACCCATGAAATAGTAGGTTAATCCGGTAGCCGACAGGCGATAGTTTCATTTCCGAATACAAGCTAAAATTGCAGTGTCTGGAGTGATACGACATTGACCCTGTTACACAGGCCAGTTGAAATGCTTCGTTACGAAGCATTTTTGAAAAAAGCTTCGTAACGAAGCAATTTTGGGCCAGTGTAACACCTCCGCCTTCGTTAGAAAAGCTTAGTTGATAACGAAGCAACTGAGTAGAAAATTCAACGAAGGTTAGGTCCCAACGAAGCTTTTTTGCCAGTGTAACAGGTAGATTCGTTAGAAAATGCTTAGTTGGCGTTTTGCGCATGCGCGTAATAAAAGAGCACATTCATCATTTTGTATTAAATGAGAGAAATCGCGAGGAATAATACGTTTTTAAGCACGTATTATAATGCTGCGTATTGATTAAAATAATTAGCCTGTCTATTTACGTCACTGATTACGTCACTGACGCTAACTCAAGCCCTAAACGCCAAGTACAAAAATGTAATTTCCCGTCTTTATTAGCGTTCATTCTGATTCCCTGCCTTTCCTCGCATGAATATGACATAAAGTTTCAAATCTAAAAACCGTAGGTTTTAAAACCGTAGGTTTTACCCCATACCAATACGGTAGTTTTGAAACGTTTATTCAATCCATTAGCGAATATTAGACCTTGAAAACTCAGCAGTCTCATGTGTGGAAGCGTAAACTTTTTAATTACGTAATCTATGCTTACTAAATAGAATGACGTGGCAAACATGTTTTATATTTTTATATACGGTTTTGTTATAATTGCCGAGGTCATATAACCGGGATAAAACAATGATTATCGTTGACTGCCCACACACAAAACATACGTTGAGTGAACAGTGTTATTACAAACAACAGGCTTTAGAATACAAAGCCCAGTAGTGTGATAATAAGCTGCACACTACCACTGCTGCATGTACATATTACTAATTTACCAGGGCTCCCAAAGAGTGGATAGGGAGGTTGTGTTTGTCACTTTTAAATTTTACATTTCAAAATTGTCATTTTACATGTCATAATTATTTGTTGGTTTCATTCGTTTAGCCAATCAAAACATTGTAAAACAATAAATTGTCTGTTACGTACAATCAATTTTGTTCAGTTTTGATTAGTTGTCAGAATAAAGTTACGTTCATCTGAATCCATGTATCAAAACAAAAATCCTATTTTCACTTCAAAATACTTCAGTGAGATGAAGGCTCGGAATTGTCACATGCAATAACTTATTGTCGTATTCGTTATTTTATCTTCTCGATAGTAGCATTTAGTCGCACATTTGATGCCAGGTCACCTTGTCGCGTACGTCTTGGGGAACCCCACATTTATGTGTGTACTCATGGAAGTAAATTCCCCGGTGTAGCCGAGAGCCACAAACTTTTCAACAGGTTCGAAATGACCAATTTCTCTCATATATACTCTAAATATTTTATTATTTAGCACCTACAAAGTATTGCTAATAACCATATGTAATTTCTATAAGGAAACTTATATGGCTACATATAAATTCAATATCAACACTAGCTGTTCTCTCAACACGTCCTGGCTTACCTTGTGGTGACAAACCCTGGATTTTCGCTATTTATAGTTTATCAACACCTGGACGCATGCGCATTTTATACTTTATCGGGCACTTTAAATAGATTGAATTAACGTTTCAATACTACCGTGTACATATGCGGTAACACCTGTGAACAAGGAACGCTCTCCGGACTGGCCAAAACTGTTCCTTGTTGACAGGTATTTGCAACAGAGAGGGCCTATGTGTTAGGCTTGCAGCCTCGAAAACCAAAGCCCCACCTAGGCATTCATTATTGTTGCCGATCGTACAACTTTTTCATCATCACCTCCTTACTCGAAATTGAAACCATTTTGGAGCTTCAGGTATAATGCATTACCTATGACCCCCCCCCCCTCCGGATCCGCCATTGCTTATGGCGACCTTGACGCGCTCCGAGATCATTTCCGTCGCCGGAGCAGTGCAGTAACGACCTTGCTCCGGTCTGTCAGGTTAAAACAATTGATTTAGGATTTTTTAACTTTATGAAGTTTCTGTTAATTACCCATTCACTTGGATGAAGAAATGTGTTCACACATAATTTAAGCTATATTTCAATTTGATATACGTAGTTAAATGGGTATATATAGTTTGAGAGTTATTCCTTAAAGTATATCATGTATATATCGATATATACTAAGTTCTGGAGTATATGTTAACATTTTATATACTATCGTTATAACTGTTATGCTTATTTGTGAGTCATATACTTTGACTTTACTTCTTCTTGGGCAGCTGGGTGTATGACGTTTGGGCGCGATTTGGCAACGACTATGCACACAATGACCATTGCAATTATTACAATAATGACTACAGCTACGACGCTCGTAGTGATGACAATGCTCACTAGAACTCCTGTCTCGCTGCCAGCGGTCACTGCAACAGTGGCTGTAGTATCTGATGAGCGTGCCATTGTCTTAGTAGTTGTACTTGATTGCAATGTTGAACTTCGGACAGTGTTGGTAATTGTAGTTGGTGTGGGAGTTGGGATTGGTTTGGAAGTTATTGATGAGGTGGGAGTTGCAGTTCGTCTAGAAGTTGTGATGGGTTTGGAAGTTGTTATTGGTTTGGCGACTGTAGTTGGTGTGGTAGTGGTCAGTTCTTGAGTCGTTGGACCGGCTGTCGTTGGTTGGGATTCGACACATGGGACGGGACAAGTCGGGTTTTTGTCTTCTGGTGCACAATTTATTTTCCCATAATGCCAATCACTCCAATGATACCAGTTGTTATTCCTATGCGCTCGAGGCTCAACGCATTCATTTTTGTCAATCCCAACAACGGAACAACTTGTACCTCCGTGTGGGCACATGTTTGCTAAGATTGACCACATGTCACAACCACAGTTAATCTTACTACCAGTAACTAAAAGTTTAAAACCCTTCTGGTAGGCTGGTAAATGACTTAGATGACACACTCTAAATCCAAACATGGCTGAATCCGACATATCTAGTTCCAGTAAGCTATCTAAACCGCAAAACGCATTCTCGTGGATTTGGATGGGTTTCTTAGAGGCCAGAGTCAACTTTTTAAGACGATATAGCGTTACAAAAGCAAACCCTGGGACATTCTCGATTAGGTTTTGTCCCAATGCTAATTCAAAGAGAGAAGTCAGATTTGTGAAGGCGAACAGTGACAATTCTGATAGATTATTATCAGTAAAAAATAGGAATTTCAGTTCCAAATTCTGCTCAAATGTTCCGTATTCAATGATTTCCAACTTATTCTTCAATATCTCCAGTTGCGTTAGGTTTCCTGTGTGTTGAAACAAAGTTTGGGGCAATTCTGTAAGTTCATTTTCCGAAAGTTGCAGAATTCTTAACATGTCTTGATTCTTGAATACGTTATCAGGTAAACGTGTTATTTGATTCTTCCATAAACTCAAACGCTCGAGTTTAACAAGTCCCGTGAACGCTTCTTCTGGGATTGTTGTGATTTTGTTATTTGAGAGATCCAGATCACCAAGTTCTGTTAATGCTTTGAAAGAACTCTCGGGAATCTCGGTGAGTTGATTTCCAGAAAATGTCAACATCGTAAGGTTGACGAGGCTTTGGAATGCGTTTGGATCAATTGTCTGGATTTCATTTTCATCAAGTCTAAGATATTCCAGTGCACCGAGTCCATTGAATGCCTTTTCTGTTATCACTGTCAGGTTATTGCTTTGGAGGTTTAAAGTTGTTAGATTGTATAAGTTACTGAATGCATCGTCGCCGATATTACTGATACTACAACGCGTGAAAACAAAGTTCTGAATCTCATCAGCACCTCGGAAAGCATTCGATTGCAGCGTTGTAAGATTAGTATTGTAGAAGAAATCAATGGATTTCAAATTTGGAAGTCCTTCAAAAATGCCAGTCGGGACTTCTGTTATTTTGTTTATACCGAAATTCAACAGGTCCCATTCTTCGGTTGAGTTCATTCTGGGTATCTCTATGAATCCACGATTGCGGCAATTTATAACCCTGAAGTCTCCTTCCTGGTAGCAATTACATCTCCCGGGTCCGCGACCGGGGTTGGGCGTTCCATCTGGACAAGTAATAGCCTCTCTATCACATGACATTCCTTCTGTTAACAGAACCAGTAGTAACAGACCCAACAATGCCATTGTTCTGTTCCAATATGCTAAGACAATACGTGTATCATATTGTGTAAGGAAGTTCTTCTAATTTTATTGTCTTATCTGTTGTATTGTGTTACAAGTTCTTTGAAACTCTTGACTTATCAATCTGATACTACGTTTGAGATCGTTCATAGTATGCTCTTTAAAGGAGTTAAAATGGACTTCAAGTGTTATTTAAATATAACATATTCACACTATGCAGTAATCATGTTTTTAATATATAATAGGATTTTTATTTGTACTGATGCCCTTTTAGGGCCAAACGTAACTCCAACATACAATTTTCAATAACAGTAAAAATAGCAATAAAGTAAAGAAAATAGGATTACTTTCTTCAAATGACATATAGAATGTTACTTTGATATAAGAATCCTCATGTTTGTGTATATTATATTTATATAAGATTCATATATACCAAGTCCAAGCCAATTAACTTAGAGTATTCCAGTCTGTAATTTATCAAAAGCAAAAATATCTGGCAATCGGCACTTACCCTCCGCCATTTTGAAAGAGATGGTAACGCCTGTTGCGGATGATCTATTCACATGATACGTACAAGTGTTCTTGGAAACATATTTTCATGGGAATGTTTTCAATTAGGTATTAATATTTAATAAATCATTGAAAAGCAACATTGACGGGTGTTCAGAGTTTCCTAATGGGCACGCGTCATAGTCATTTTTAAAAACTGAGAGATAATTGGTAACAAACCTTCAGGATGTCAATTTGAATAAACCGTCTATTTTCATAAAAAACATGCTTGGACCATAAAACTAAAAAACAAAACGTTTTGGACAACTTTAGATATGAAAACAGAAAGACTTTTGAATTTTTATTGCTTTTACTCTTTTAAATATCCCCTACTCCACGTTACCATAGTAATACATAGCGAAACGTCTGCTCATTGGTAATTTTGTCACATTAATATTAAAAACTGATATCATTTTACTGAATATACTCATGGGATACTGAGGAAAGATGGCGTGGTAGGACATAGTGTGTAATTGTACTTGTAGTGGCATAGACATAAAGTGACTATGCGGGCAATATCTTTCAGCTTATTACAGGGTATCCCAGAACGCATTAGAATTTTCGAGTAGGTGCAGTGTAGCATCTTCGAATTCCAAGTGGTTATGAACACGCGGTACTAACTCACCGGGGCGTATCGAAACCAAAACGCCCCGCAAAACCATTAATTTGAATTTTTAAACCTACCCTTTCTTCGGAAAATCAATTATTGTGAGTCTCACAGTAAACCGTTTTTCTTCAAACTTGTTCCATTAAAACCTTCACAGAAATACCTTTCACTCGAGACATCGCTTTTATGTACAGAGTCGCTCATTTTAGCGGCATTTTGGTCCCCAGATGTGAGAAGATGCAAATCTTCAGAGATTTCAACCAAAAGCCTCGATATATCGCCAGTTCTTTTATTATTCTCCCCTATATTTTGCACAAGGACTCCCATTACAACCTATACATCTGTTCGAAATTGATCAAAACGCCCCGTTCTCTTCCAGAACGCCCCGTTAGATCTATACACCTTGAAACTACACGTTTGTAGTCATAGACTCTGCGGGGCGTTTTGGAAGACAACGGGGCGTTTCGGTCAATTTCGAACACTTGCGTAGGACTTTTCAGAATTGCTGCGTTTCTTGTAATAAACATGTTGATGCAGCGATGGAGGGTTGTAATGGGAGTCCTTGCGCAGAATATGGGGGAAAGTGATAGAAGAACTGGCGAGATATCAAGGATTGTGGTTGAAATCTCTGAGGATTTGCAACTTCTCACATCTGGGGACCAAAACGCCGCTAAAACGAGTGACTTTGTAAACAAAAGCAATATCTCGACTGAAAGGTATTTCTGTGAAGGTTTTAATGGAACAAGTTTGAAGAAAAACGGTGTAGTGTGAGACTCACAATCATTGATATTCCAAAGACAGGGTAGATTTGAAATTCAAATTAACGGTTTTGCGGGGCGTTTTGGTTTCGATACGCCCCGGTGAGTTAGTACCGCGTGATGAAGTTGGAGCAACTAAAACCTTGAGAATCAAGATGGCAGTGTAGGGCAATGGTCGGTTTAGCTTGAAACTTGTCACACTGGTTATATTGAGGAATGTGTGTTTCAGACACTGTACATTTTCAGGCATATAGAAGCAGCTTTTGCTTGTATCGTCGCCTGATTATAACGTCGCCACAAATTGATGAATTTGGCATTTCACTTTTAAATCGCAGCGCATCATTCTCGGGTTAACAAATAATTTTTTTCTTCACTTGATATATTTTCTAAAAAGCAAATTATCATTTATTTGAACAAATCAAGTGAATTAAATGACAAAAAGTATTACGTCTTTAAATTTCTCTGACCACTTTGAGACGATGCAAAGTCTAATGCCAAAGTAAAATTTTTTAATACAAACTGCAAAGCACCTGAAATTTATGACATTTTAATGGCCATGACTAAAATGCATTTGACATTAAATATTTTTCTGGGAATATTCGACGAAATTTTATTTGGGGTAGTTCTGTCAGTGATGAGATGCTGTCACATGGCCACAAGCCCCATGATCGCGCAGTAATCTATAAATGTAAACGACAAAATTTGCTAGCTGAACGTAGTTATAAGAAACTATCATGACGGCAATTATTAAAGTAAAGCTACGTAAGATAGGATTGTAATTACCACTACCCTTAGCTCCAGGGCTAGATCACTATCCTCTGGCTGACTATCGAAATTGTTCATTATAGAATGCAATTTCACGTTTGATAATCAAAGAGCATCATACAACCACGCGTAAAATTTTATACAGATATTTAGAGAACCGTGTCGTCTTTGAGTGACCACAGGCTCTGATTGGTCAATTCGTTGATGCGTTTATCGGTATTGTTAAGAGTACAGTATGGGTGAAGTTAACACTCTGGAAAAGGGTAAATTAGCATACCATGAAGGCGGTCTTAATTTCCGTCAGTCCGTGGATTTATAGGAGACCGGGTGGATGAGAGAAGGAGAGATTGTGGCCGTACGTAAAGATCACTGCTCACACGAAAATAGAGTATGACATTGTTTTAATCGCAAGGAACAGGGGAGTTTATACCGCTAGCAGGTACGACTTTATTTGTATTAAACTCAAAGTATTGTATTCAAATTCTACATTTTGTATTCAAACTGTAAATACTGTTAAAAATCATGGTCGTGAGACTCGTGAATTTATAAAAAATGGAAATTGGGATTATTGGTGGTTAAAATTAAAAGCAAAGTAGAGAACAGAGTTTCAAGTCTAATTATTGGTTCAATAATAAAATAAGATCCAGGTAATTTCCTTAAGACCTTGAGTGTATATTATGAGTACACTCAGATTTCTGATAATGTTTTATGAAAATGGAATTTATTTGCGTAAATATTGGTGGAAAATTCAATAGCCTATCATGGGTAATTTTAAGTACACTTTTATGGCAGCCGCAAATATTGATGAAATGACAATGTGAATTGACATACACCTTACCTACATGTAGTAAGTCTATCGATATTACACACCAAAGATCTACATCCGAAATACCCGGATCTTCTTTTATTGTTGAATTAACAATTGACTCTAAGTGAGCTCCATGTAATTTACCATACCTCTAGAGTTACGGAATCAAACAAATCACAAACTCTATCTTTGTTTCTATTTTTAATTTATGTTTCAGCCATTAACCATTTAGTCACATTTGTTCCACGGCAGCCGTAGCTTCACAAAATTCACATTCACAAAATTGATATAGAAAATCTTCATCGTAATACTTTTGAGAAGCCACCGCCGCCTTACGGTTGCCATAGATCACATGCGATTAAAGTGTTACGTGCTGGAATGTAACTACATACTCTAGATAACGTCCTTAATAATAGTTAACTTAAGGTACCCTAAATGATATTCAATAATATATATGCTAAAGTGAATCTGTTTTTCGGAGGTGAACGGAGAACGATGCTACCCAGAATGCCCAGTTTGAGGGAAGTGAATACACTGGCGCTGATACTACTACTAATGGTGCTAGTAATACAGGCAGAAGGTAAGAGAGAATTACACTGTGAAGAATTTGGGGTACACGAGGGGTCTTTTGCGTGACAAAATGGATAAAGCTCCCTTGTATGTAGCTTGTAAGATGTTAATACTTTTTTAAGTGTTACCTTGTTTCGCTGAGGTTAGACAACTTTTTGTTGCTCTTCTTAAATCAATGTTATTATGTATCAATTGAATAATCATTTAAAGGCCCTACGAAGGTTTAAATCGCCTTATATTAGCTTACATTGTTGTTTTACCACATAATATGATATGTTAAAGTTCTGTTTAAAATTCAGTGTTGTTTTCAATTTCGATATAATGTTATTTTTTATACCTCGTCTTTCCACTTATACAGTATGATATAAGTGGAAGATAACTTAGATATATACAGAAAGGTGGTTTTCAAAAAATCGTACAAATTGTTCAATAGGGATGTGAGTGATGTCAAACCTTATGGAGGGGAGTGTATTTGTAATACCAACTCATGTGTACAGTGATTCATAATAGTTTCAACTGATAAAGCAGAAGGTTCTTAGGTAGTATTGCATATGAAGATCTTGAAATTCTATTTTGTTGTCACCACCACAAGTGGTTACATATTTGTCTCCGACTTTTTTTGTGGCGGTGGTTGGTGTTCGGAGTTCAGCGTCTGTAACAAATGATAGGTGGTGACATTTTGCATGTAAATGCCTTGCCTATATAGCTAAATATTAGGTTATTCTTCAGATGGTAAGAAGGACAGACCATACTTCAAACACGCTGTGGACAAGCGACCATTCGGGCAAATCCTCAGTGTTCCTGGATTCACCCAAAATACTAAACCAAAACGTGCATTTGGACATAGCATTATCAGCGGTAAACGTGCATTTGGATCTCGGATACTTGGAGGAAAGCGTGCATTTGGATTTGGCAGTTTTAGAGGGAAGCGTGTATTTGGACCGGGGAGTTATCTAGGAAAACGCTCTTTTGAATCTGATGACATTTTTGGGAAGCGCTTTTCTGACGAAGATTACGTGAATCCAGATATCTATGATACATTGTACAGTGACAGTGATAGTAACGGTGAAATCAAACGAGCATTTGGATCACGTGTATTTGGCAAACGTGCATTTGGATCACGTGTATTTGGAAAGCGTGCATTTGGATCACGTGTATTTGGAAAGCGTACATTTGAACCGGAAGTTATCAATGGAAAATATTCTCTGGGCCCTAATCTCTCGATGGATGAAAAATCGGACGATGACGATGATAGCGTTGAAACTCCAGAACATTTTGAATATTTTCTCCGGTAATCAATATTTAGTGTCCCACGTCATATTGAGACAGTTGTTACTGAATGCCTTTATAATGTTAAATCGCCATGTCCAGATCATTTTAGTAGACAACTATGAAAACTATCATAATATATACTGATCAGAAATTATACCTGGAATATGCTAAATATGAATAAATACACGTGCAATGAAGATATGGTCTTTAGCAGAGTTTATTAGAGAATACAATTAGGTTTTTGGTTGGGGTCCCTTCTTTTTGGTTACTTTGGGAACAATTATATTTTACTGTGCTGGATTAATAAGTCATTGTATGCTGTATATTCTGTAAGAAATCTCAATATGTTAATAAGTGTTAAAAACAAAACAAAACAAAATTCATAGATCTTCATCAGGTAGACTGTAAACTTAGTTTACCTGATGAAGATGTATGAATACATCGTAAATCTCAACATTTTGTTCTGTAAGGAATCAATAGATTAAATTGATTGAAAACAAGAATCATATTACTGATGTTTGCCTGTTTGAGTTACCTAACGCAATGTAAGGGTTTGTCTTAGAATCATAATGGCAATCATAAACAAAACAACAATCCTCATTTAGGCTTACAACCATCATTTATATTCTTTAGCTTAAAAATGATGTGGGATGGTTATTTAATTTTTAAAAGTACAGCTGTAAAACTTGTGTACAGTGAACACCTATGGAGCCACATAATTGTGTTTACTATCGGTAGGTGTTCACTGTACAGAGAGGCAATCTTATACAGAACGCAGTAGAGTATGTACTGAGAAGGGGTGTTCAGACACAGTTGTTCACTAGAGAGAGAAGTGTTCACTAAGACAGGTTTCACTGTACATAAAAGCACCCAATGTCTTAATGCCCATGAATTTTAAAAAATATTCCCGATAACCTTTACAATTCGTATGGAGACATCGATCCAGAAGTCCATGATCATTCTTTCAAATGTGACATTTTGATTTAATTATTTGTGGATTCCTATGGGACATTATATGATTAACGAATATACAGGCACTTTCAATCCCTCTCATTTGTGGAAGGGGGTATTGTCATGATGAAAGGGTGTTCAAAAAAAACGCAACCCAAAGAAATCGCAATATCTTGGAAAATAGTAATCCAATTATGTTCATATTTTCAGGAAAGAAAGAAGAGACTGTGTATGTATAGCCCCTGTTGTTAGTTAGTTGTAAAACATGATATCTTGGACACTTTCTCAAAAGACAGTTGTACTAGCAAAATATGAAAAACGTGAATGGAAAATCACTATATCTTGGAAAATATTAATTCAATTATGTTCATTTTTTAGGAAAAGAAAGAAGAGACTGTGTATGTGTAGCTCCTGTTGTCAGTAAGTTATAAAACATGATGCCTTGGACACCTGCTCAAATGACAGTTGTACTAGGAAAATATGAAAACGCAGTCAGAGGTGACTGCCACAGCAAAAAAACCAAATAACTTTCTAACCATGGTGTTTTGGCACTTCAGATTTGGCACAAATTATCCTCATTTAATGTGTAGTGAATTTGTGGAGTTTCATCAAAATCACTCCAGGGACTTTACAGTCATGGTCAAAATAGCTTCTTAAGTCTCCCTGAACCAGGGCGTTTGACTGCAATTTGAAAGCATTTCAACCATAACTGTAAAGTCCCTGAAGTGATTTTGATTTCACTCTACAGATTAACCATACAATGAATGAAGATGATTTGTGCCAAATTTGAAGAGCCAAAACACTATGGTTTGGAAGTTATTTAATTTTTTCGCGGTTGCTGTCACCCCTGACTGCGTTTTTCGTATTTTCCTCGTACAACTGTCTTTTGAGCAGGTGTCCAAGGCATCATGTTTTACAACTAATCATTTACAGGAGCTGTTCATACACAGTCTCTTCTTTATTTCCTGAAAATATGAACATAATTGAACCAGTATTTTTCAAGATATAGCGATTTCTTTGGGTTGCGTTTTTTTTGAACACCCTGTATTTACAGGGCCATTATGTGTGTAGGCACGATCTGTCCTTTTGTGCAACGCATGCTGAGAATTAACTTGAAAAGACAGCTACGCCTAAGTTGACTTAAATGAAAAATATTGCTTAATTATTAGTAGATAACTTACCTGATAACAAAATTATATGAATAATTCCTCTGGATAGATTATCACGAAAGATGAGATATGCGAATACAAATATATAAGCACAAGTGCCAAAGGGAAAGGGCCAAAAGCTGCAATGGAACTTAGTAAGTAAATACCATACTGCATACCAGTCAAGAAAAACAAACCCCATATAGCCCAAAACCATGATCTAACGTGAAAAGAAACAATGTCTAATACCTCTTTTCCCTCCACCATTCAAGAACCGATATCACAATCCAAGACCAGAAGACCAAGGGACATTTTATTCATACTGAAGTCATTACAATACACGTTGAAGAAAAAAATAGAAATTGATATCCAGAAATTGATATCCAATACTCATAACCTCAAAAATAGTTGTAGATACAAGTTCTCATACAAGATAGAGCATTCAGTCTCAAATGATGTGGAAACACATATTTACCAATCCTCTATAAGACACAATAATTTAAATCTTAAAATATTTGTACTTTAGTAGATAAAAGCAATTTAAATCCTACTTGGGTAGCAACACAATAGAATGGTTGTTGTCTGTTTTAAAGAATGTACGGTTATATCAAAAGGAAAGTCCATTCTTTTTCTATTGGCTGTCACATGCAGTGCACTTAAGCAGAACTATTCACTCATTCAATGGTTGAATAGTAAACACAACAGAAATTTTAAACTGTACATCGTACATGCCCCGTTACATGCAATGCACTGAACCTTAACTAATTACACCCACTCATTTCTCAATACATGGTCTCAATCTCATGGTCAATAGTCAGCACCAAATAAATTTTCTAAAATTGGATCATGGACCATTTACCTTTCATATGAGTCAGTGCCCAGTGTGTGGTTGTATAGTCATATTACTTAGGAACAAAAACTGTTACCCCTTACGGAACTGTCACTCATATTAAACAGGAGTTTAAAATGTAGGCCCCTTCTACTGTTAATTGGTGTTTAACTGTTAATTTGCAATAATTATCACAGAGTGGCATAGCAAAATACTAGATATAGTATGTCTGGTATTTGGATCAGCTATTTTTCATAAAATGTTCACAATTCATTCATTAATTAAGATATTTTTAAATCAAAAATAACCTACTCCATGATTTGGGAATTCATTATTTGATAAATTCACTCATAAAAGGCAACTCAAGAAAACTAGACAATCAGCTTTTAAAATATTTATTTGTATTAATCCCCAGTGGCTATACAATACAATACATACATATATTTTTGGCATAATATAATGCAGAGATTGATTGATATATGACCAGCACTTACATGCATAGAAAACATATGATTTTGTGTAGCTTGTTTATACATGCAAAATTACATTTGCCTTCAATATAACCGTGATTTGCTTATAATGTACATGTACTGAGATTTTTTTACCATATATGGAGCTTATAATGTACATATAAAATTTTACCATATATGGCATTTTAAATGAGGTCACATTTCGAAAACAATCTTCCCTATGAAAATTCCTTAATCCATTGTTGTTGTTGTCATGGAAATCATGACATCATCATACTGTCATAGTAACATGAACAATAGATTTAGGAATTTATACCATAATGAACACTTCCGGTAACGTACACGAAATTAGATACATGTACTATTAATTTAATTATAAAATGTGGCTGGTGTGATTTATGATTCATATACATGTACAATTACATTATATTATAATTAGCTTTTATTATAATTAGCATATATCTTACTTTTTACCATATTTGGTATTATTAAACTGATCCTGCATTATTAAACAGAGCTTATATCCCAAAAATGAATAACAAAAAGTGACATTAAGTTTTCTTTCGCAATGTCACTGTACTAAGAGTGCAGCCAAAGTACGTCATTGTGGTTATTCACCTAGTACATGTTAAAATTATAAATGAAGCATTTTTACGAAAAGCTTCTTAACAAGGATCTTTGAGGTGTTTCACAGGCACAACATCCTTCGTTACAAAGCTAGTTGTCAAAATAATTAGTAAGCAAACAATTCTACCTGGCTGTGTAACAGGTCCCATTAAAAACAGACAATTTGCCATATTAATTATAGCTTTCTTAGAAATGCTTTAGAAATCGGCTGGGGGGATTGAAAGCCTCTGAGGTGCTTATATCACGCCAAGACTTACATCATGAATGATAAAAGAATGATACACCTATTGTTATTCACAGTATTTTAACAAATTATTTCATATCAAGATGTGTATGATTACATTAATGTAACGAAATCATCAAAAACATATATGAATATCTAACTTTGTCATTTGATAGATACCTTTTCAATTAATGTCTAATTAAAAGTCTGTTAAATAATAATGTCCCACTTTCCCTCCCCCAATCTAGTTCAAACTATAATTTGACATTTGACTGCCTCATAAAAATACATACTTGGTGAAAAAATTTCAGCCTAAAAAGCTGATAACAAAATATAACATGTTAAATAATTGTTTGGATGGATTAATACATTTATGGTACAATTATTAACTTGCTGACTTACATGTATGATTTACTTGATAATTATCAAATATTTTTTAGAATATTTTGAGCCAAACTGTAGAAAATAGTATAAAGACAATGATCTAGGAGAATTCAAGATGCTAGTTAAAAGCAAGATTAAGGTGGGAACAGATAGAATATTTTATGTGTTGGTCTTCATACTGTCTTCATGCCAACATGTCAAAGGTTGTCCTAGTGAGCCTACCTTAAGGTAGGTGAAGCATTGGATTTTTCATGTAAGGCTGCGTACAGTTGTCATAGATACAGAGGCACAAAGCTGCCATACTAGAGCCACCTTAATCATCAGAATGCAAGTGTCAAGCAGAGAACATTCCACACACAGTGAACACTTTCACAAAAACAGTTTCCTTTTATTCATATTTGAGTAATTTAGCTCTGCACGCCACTTATGTTAAAAAACATATTTTGTTGAAATAACTTTTACAGGTAAAATTATTTTTTTTACAGCTGATTAATCAATTACTTGGTCAAACAGTTGAGTGACCAGTAATAAAATCAACAAAAAGAAATTTTCACATTGAAACGTTTTACTGTATTGCTTTTTTAAGCGACTTAGTAATATGAGATGGAATTTCAATCTTTGCAAAGGCTATAAAAGTCATGAGCTCTGATTCCACTTAATCTACTTAATGAAAACCATACTTAGATATCAAGATCCTTTTTGATCTAAAATTAGGGGATTAGATATATTTTATCACATTAGTGTTATTCAGAAATAATGTCCATCCTCCCACACTAAAACTTGCATATTCCAATGCTAATTTCATACCATTGGTCTCCGGAATTTGAAATAACTAACTTATTTTTCGCCAAATTTCTTTAAAATCTAGAGTGTTAACCTTATGCCTATTAATGCTGTCACATCCTGGGCCCATTTTTCACTCTATTCAACTTTTTAAAAAACAACTGCTTAACTTTATTCATAGAATTTTTAGGTGTTTAGATGATATCATCAAAATGTATCATTAATGTTTATAAATGAGAAATTATCAGTCCTAAACAGGCTTACTGTTGGATTTGAGTTAAGCTACCAATTTCAGAGAAAAGCTCCGTTTTCATAAATCTTTTTCACGGTTGGAGACGATGGCGAATTTAACTCCATTTCTTGCGTGAAATCCTTGTAGTCACTTTGAGGAATGCTAGCGTTACTTTCTTGAATGTTAGCGTTACTAAAATTAATATTTGTGTCACTATATTGTATAATTGTATCTTGTGCTGTAGTATTGTTTATGTTTCTTCCGTATTTCTTAGTTTTTGATTCGCCATAATCAAAAACATCAGAGTCTGTATAACTTCGTGTTTTTTCTATTTTGGTTTTTCCTGTCGTTTCCATTTTAATATTTTCAGAACTATCTCCATCTTCAGTTATATCAAGGGGTCCTAGTTTGCCATGGTTACTGCTTGCAATGTCATCTTGAAGAACTTTGTTTATATTTTTGTTTGGTTTATGGAGTCCCCTGCCCTCTGATGATTCTATAATTCTGATTGGTCTGAAAAATAAAGAAAAGTAAATCGTGAAAAGTAAAGCACTGTCACCATTCTTGATAGCAAGTTGCTACTAAAGTACAGCCAGGCCAATAGCCAGCTTTTGCCAAATGTGGGGTAATTTTTTTTAAAAACCAGGGGGTTCAAATTTCACAATTTTGGCCCAAAAACACTTGAAAAAGTGCTCAGAATTGTAAAAAACAGCATGATAAAACTAGCATTGTTCTCTTTAATAATGTGGAATTTGTGTGAAGCTCTTTTTCTAGTACAATAAATTATATTTTTGGATATACCTTTGATGTGTTCCCCTTAATTTTGGAAAGGTTTCTAAAAGTGAAACAGTTGTTTTGAGGACAATAATGAAATGATTCTCTGGGTGAAAAATGATATCCACACTGATATCAAGAGCTGAAATCCAATCTGGAACTGAGTCAGGGAATCACCCACCCTAATGGACCCAGGAAAAAAATACATGTTGTTTTTTGTTTGTTTATTTTACTATACATGAACTATAAAAGTGTATGATTAGCATTGAATTAAGAAAAATTGGCATGGCGATTACACTCAAATAATATCGGTATATGTAAGTATTTAAACCAACTTTTGGTACATTCCAATATGTGGAATATACATGTAACAAGAATGACTTTTTAAGCAATGGTAAAATCAATCCCAGCAGGCAATTCCATCTCATGTGACCAAATTCATCCAATCAAATCCATGTATATAACAAGAAGATATCGCGACAGGTTTTTTCAGCATATTCTTCACTAATTGATTAGCAATTAGTGAAAATGGCAAACATATCACATATTAATCCTACATTATAACATCACTTAGTTCAGTGATGAAAAAAGATATCACAACAAATTACAATCCCAATTACAAGAATTATTTCCGGCAGAGATTACTTTTAACTGAAGTCAGGTCTTACAATTTTATTGTTTTTATGATGAGAAGATTTTTCAATCTGAAGAATATAACACATTCCTGATGGATTACATTAAAAGAACAACGAGAATGAATAAATAGTGAGGTATAACCTTTGAAATATTGTAAGTAAGGGATAAAAATACTAATATGGGCTGGATTTTTTTGCTTAGAACAATGTAATGTATATCTGATAAAATCAGTTTAAGAAATCCTAACTTTTATTACGTTTTGTAACAGATACTCTAGCTGCTAAAATGCAGGCTGATAAACCATTCCCTAGGTGTCATTAATGGATTTGAATTGCTTTGACATACCGTCCTTTTACAAATATGCGACACTACACTTTTATAACATACAATCAATGAAGAGAGGAACATTACGAGTTATTTTGAATTTTAAGCAGCAAATCCCCCAAAATTTTAATTTTTTGAATCATGTAAGTTTATAAAATTATTTCTATAAGATATTTCCAATAGGAGCTGATTCATGTCTTTATGACCTCAATTTTTTGGTAGATTATGCTCTGTTGTATTAGTAGTGGGTCTATAAAAGCACAGATGTTTAGCAGTTGAATTTTTTCATAAATCATTTTATTGGGCCAAGAGAGAAGCAGTTTAATAATTACTTTATCTCAAAGGTTACTTACCTGAGAGCATCTCTGTTTGCAAAAAAATATATACAAGGAAATATTATTATAAACCATTTACTTTACAACACAGATTGTCTCTTAGCAATTAACCTAAACAAATCCTTATTATAATTTGTCTGTATAACAGAATTGTATTTTCTGTCTGCAGTTACAACATTAATGTTATATTTTTTTGCAATTACAACATCAAACTTGTGTTACATTTTGAAAATTACAACATCAATCTACTTAAAAATGTTGATGTATATTATTACAACTACAGTTTTAGTGTTATATGCAATGATTATTTTACACACAACAACATGAAAATAGCTTACATGTCAAATGTAATTATTTTGTAAAATGACACAGTGTACTTGGTTACATGTCAAGTTAAAAGTCTATCTTAAGTTAATGTGACATCAGATTCAGTATGTCATCAAATATTTTTGGAAAACATGAATCCATTTCTTGAAACATTTAAAATTTCATTGTAGTACTAAAAGATTCCAAAATTCATGATTGTAGGCCCTTAAAATTAATCATCTGTGGTAACAGTGACTTGGGCATCATTCAAAAAGTGCCCCTAGTCAAACCATTTTACTTACATTTTAAGGATTTTCTGGAATTTCCTTTTATTTTGAAGGTTTTCTTTTTTAAAAGCATTTTTTGTTCTATTTTGACAAAAATAATTCCTACTTCACAGACAATTCACGGATAGGGAATAATCATGAAATTTATGATGTCACAATACTTGCACATACAAAAGTACACAAATATAAGATTATAGAACGTATAGATCAACAGATAATTCAAGAAATATTTATAGAGTTAAAGAAACCGCATACCACCCTTATTATAGATGTCACCACCAGGTGTCATCACTACATTCTACGTCTAGGTGCCGCCTAACATAGAAATCATACCTACTATTACTGGGCATGTGAAGATCAATGCTGGCCATAGGGGGTGCCCGATCGAGACTACTGTGACTTCCTGTCCGATGACTTGGAGATGGAATCATGTAGGAATCGTCTAAATCCGAGTCTGATTCAAATTCACTGAAATTATATTATCAAATTATAAAAAATGATTTTATCTCTGGTGTGTTTGAGCGTTAACATCAGCTGCCTCTAGTCAGATCGACTAAAAAAACAACTTTTTTGGGGTTGTCGAGTTGGCCGAGAGGGCTTCAGCGCCAGCACGTTCAAACTAGGCAAGTAGGTGCCGTAGCCACGAGGTTGCGAGTTTGAGACGTGTGTGCTCCTTGTGTTTATTCATTTATAATTCTCTACCAAGTTGTGAAGTTATTTAAGCTGTGATTTGAGATTATGGGTCGAAAGTATTTAAATAACTAGGACAGGGGATGCACCAAGAAGGTAAAGATTTAGCAAGTTTTGGAATTATATTATATTGTTTTAATGTTCAACTATCAACAGTTATATTTTTTGTTTGGGAATGATAAAAGCAACAACTTTTGTAAAACTGAATTGTTATTTGATATTGACTGATCTTTCACGAAATCTTTATGATATTCCCTGAATTGGGAATGGGGAGTAGAAAGGGGGGGGGGGTGCAGAGATGTTATTGTGCCATACCTATCTGTAAGTGAGAGATCAGAATCCATATCTTCTTCTATAACTGCCTGTAGATCCTGAATTCGTTTAAATGCAAGCTTCAAGTCTGCCTGGCTCTCTTCATATTCTATCTCCAGTGTCTCAACTTTACGCTCCTAAAATGACGGAACAATAGTACACTCAGTGATAAATATTGCAGTTTAAAGATCAAAATGACCTCTATGTAATTTAGTAATTTACCCAGCATTCCCAGAAACCTAATCAGATCCTGGCAGCAATCTGCTCTTGCATATGTAAAAATTTCAAGTTGGAAAAATAAATCATTTTCCTGGTATTTCGACGACAAAATTTATGTGGCGCCTATCTAGTAGTTCCCAGATGCCCAGTTGCACAAATCACTTTTTGAAAGTACAATAAAAATAAAACATTTGACCGCACTACTGACTTAAAAGATACTACTAGCATCTTGTAGAATGAGAGATTGATAAGAGACCATCAATTTTAATAACAATTACCCACACACCTTTTAATTCATTTACTAAGACCCTGTTACTCACAACACTATATCACTTTATCATATGTAAAGCCCAATTTTAAGCATACTCATTAACTTGTTTATACCTTGTTTTAGTCACCCCCGTGCAGGCAAATCGTCTAAAATTACATTCGTATGATGCGAGACTAGACATTCACCAGGAAAGTAGAAACATTTTGTCACCCATGAAGCAAATTAATTTTTTACTTCTTAATAAAAATGAATGACAGTCATATTAAGTTTGATTCTAAGTTTTAAGTTCTATTTTTAATTTTAGGCGATCTGTCTGCATGGGGTCTTTTAGTGTTTTCTATTAGTGAACCATACATGCAATTAAGGCTCTCCACTTTGTAAAAGACATTAAGAATATTACATTTGCCCATTTATGGATGTAAATCATTGTTATATTGAGCATAAAGGCAAAGATGGGTAGGGTCAAGGGAATTATCAAATCCAACAAAAAAATAAAATAAAAACTGCATCTTAATTTCAACTGGAATTAAAGCAGAAACACTGCATAGGAATTACTTGTGTTTCTATTAATCGTTATAACAACAAACAAGCTGCCACTGATTTATTCATTACAATGTCATAAGACAAAGAGCAAAATCGCAAATCTGAAATCATCAAAATCTATTTCTTCTTAAGAGTATTTATTGACAATGGTGTATAAATTTGACAAAGGGTAACCACAGGCAGAAATGTCTAACATACACAACCTTTTCACTTAACTTTTAAGGATCACAAAATATTTTTAATTCTTAATGCTTAGCTTACACAATCAAAAGACATGGACATAAACCTTCTATTGTAAAAATATTAAACCAAAAAGAAATATTCATCATAGCTGTATAATAAATGAACAACTTGCACCTTTCTCTATCTAAACTGCAAAAATAATTCCTTAAAGCTTCCAACGAAAAAAAGCTATCCCTTGAATATCACGAAGGTATCTGATGAGCAAAACTGCACAAAACACACAGAAAAGACACCTTTCACTAATTAATTGAGAGATATAGTTCCCCTTAGCTAGGTACATAATTAGCCATCTAACTCAGGACGCTACTCTTGCAATGACTTCCTCGTGCATTTAACTTCATTATAGTCTTGATTTACTGTTGCGTTAATTAATTGAAATAGCAAAATAATTTTCATTTACACCCTGCATTGAGCTTACAAACCTACCCTTTTCTATTTTTAGATTTTTGTTCTTTAAAAGAGAGCTTCATCTGCATTCTATGAATAAGAGATAATCATTCGATTTAGCCTTAACCAATCAGATTAGTTTAATCAAACACAGCTAACCAATCAGAGTGCAGTCACATTTATTCCATATTCAAACTCCAAGGAAAAGGCAATGGCAGCTACTTTTTCGGGTCATCATGACCTTATCAGCTTCGAAATTGTATCATTATCTCTGAAAGCTAGAGGATGGTAATTTTAACTCTAGCCTCAGGGCTCCAGGCATTGTGAGATCCACAGTCTACTATCACAGTGTATACTATTCCTTTGATACAAGCTTTAGATAAAGAGAGACTCTGATAAATCAGAATTGGCTCCAGGGTATAATAATATAACATAGTAAACCCTGGTTTATATCTCTATTCATGAGAATTCATCTTTTCTTTCTGATTTTCGAAAATTTGTAAACACAGGAGAGAATGGATATCATGTCTGTTAACAATATTCCTTGCTAATTTCACTATTTTTCATGTTTTTAGTTTAATTTGAAAACAAAACCTGACAACATCTTTTAAGGGCAATTTGAGGATTTACAAGCCTTTAAATTAATTAATTAATTAGATTTTTCTAATTCAATCATTGTATTTGTAGAAAAAGGTGTGTGGGACTTTATTGCTGAGCAATTTTTCTTCTTAAAAGCTTTCGACATATAATCACACTTCTTTCAACTTTTAACAATACAATCAATGCTGTAAAAATATTAAGACATTCTAACATGTATGTATGCCATGGGTCATTACTTTTTCCTCGCTAATTTTGGTCTCGATTCAAAATTTGAGACAAATTGACTGAATTATCACAGAAAACTGTAATTACAGAACACCATCAACAAAAGATTTGGAGACTATAACAATTGTACAAGTATGTCACCACGTACTGGTGGTTACAATTATGTCACCACGTACTGGTGGTTACAATTATGTCACCACGTACTGGTGGTTACAATTATGTCACCACGTACCGGGTGGACATTTTAGTTCAAGTTTCACTCACTAGGTCTGCTTTCCTTTGAGTACTTTCTGCATCCCTGGCCTGGATGTCCCCAGTCTCTTCTCGCAAGTCCCTCAATTCCCGCTGGACTCTCTTCAACAGATCCTGTGCTTGGGTTTCATTACTTTTAGAAATATCAATGTTTTTAGTTAAACTTTCAACTTGTTGTTTATGACGTGTTGTTTGGGATTCTAGTCGTTGTTTCGTTGTTTCCTCATACTGGAGACGGGATTCTAATTCTCGGATTCTCGCCTCGTGGCGATCTTGGACGTGTTTATCTACTGTGCTGCCCTCTAGGTAACCAACTTTGCTACCCAGTGATGAAACCTATTGAGTAAAAATAATTAAATTGTTTTTCAATTCATTTAAAAAATACATCAGGATTAGACGCAATATTAACTTCTGTTACCTTGTGTTTTAAGAAATAAAGCTAACATTGACATTTACATTTCAAAGCCAGAGATTGGCAGCATATTAATATCTGCTACCTTGAATTTAAAAAAAAGATAACATATACTTAATGTAATCCTATTTTCTTTGCTTTATTGCTATTTTTACTGTTATTGGAAATTGCATGTTGGATGTACGTTTGGCCCTAAAAGGGCATCAGTACAAATAAAATCCTATTATATATTAACCAATAAGTTTTGTATACCTGTTAATATCATTGTATATTATGTAAAAATTGTATAAATGTTTTTTTAATTTAGTGAATATACCTGTTCTTTGAGAAGTTCTTTCTCTTTGGTGAGAAGTTCTATCTGCTCAGAGTTATCCCTCAAAGTGATCTGGTCAACAGAATGCTGAAATCATCAAACAAAAATAAATAGACAAGATGTAAGAAGAAATAATCTGATTTTCATTGTTAAATATTCAAAAGAATGGGTATCGATATGGCGAACTTTTTGAACACAAGTTTCTCTTAATCCAGTCATCAGAAATTTCTGAAAATCTTACAAATTGTCAATTTAATGGCCATCTCTTGAATGGTAACAATATAATTTGAAATAGATATACATACTTCCATCTATATTGTTTAAAAAAACACATCAAAGACTTGTTTTGTTCTTGGTATCATGTTTCCAGAGTGAAATAGAACATCTTTCCGAACCTCATTGGAACAAAACGACATAAACACAACATGTTTAGGTCTCTCAATATTGTAATTGTACAAAGGAAATTTTGGTTGATTTTAAAAAAGTATCTTGTTAATGAAATAAAAGTTTTTTCTTGATTTTTACCCATTTTGGGGGGATTTTGTTTTAATTTTTTGAATACTTTTTTAAGATCAACCAAAAATTCCTTTGTATTACTTTAATATCGAGAGGTCTAAAAACATGTTGTATATGCTATTTCGTTCCAACAAGGTTCGGAAGACATTTTATTTCATTCTCAAGAATTGGTAGAAAGGAGCAAAAACAATTGCACTAAAAAAACAAAAAATGTTAACAAAAACAGTTATATAAACTATTTCTAAATAATTTTCGCATTAAATTTTTTACAGAATGTTTTCAATGATTGGTTTAAGAGAAAAACATTGTTGAATTCAGTTCTCCAAACCGATACCTATCCTTTGGTCAAAGTGATATGAAATCTAAATACAAAATTACATCTATGATGATAAAAGCATGTTGGAAAATTAAGACCTGTTGAACAGCTGCCTTATATAACAGGCATTATGGGAGATACAAGCATGATGGGAAAAAGAACCTGCTGTACAGCTGCCTTATATTACAGGCATTATGGGAGATAAAAGTATGATGGGAAAAAGTTCCTGTTGTGCCGCTGCCTCATTACATGCAAGATCCAGGGAAATACAAGCATGATGGGAAAAGGTTCCTGTTGTGTGACTGACTTATATCACAGGCATGATGGGAGATACAAGCATGATGGGAAAAAGAACCTGCTGTACAACTGCCTTAAATAACAGGCATTATGGGAGATAAAAGTATGATGGGAAAAATAATTTGTTGTACCGCTGCCTCATTACATGCATAGTCCAGGGAAATACAAGCATGATGGGAAAAAGTACCTGTTGTGTGGCTGACTTATATCACAGGCATGATGGGAGATAAAAGCATGATGGGAGAAAAGTACCTGTTGTGTGGCTGACTTATATCACAGGCATGATGGGAGATTAAAAGCATGATGGGAGAAAAGTACCTGTTGTGTGGCTGACTTATATCACAGGCATGATAGGAGATAAAAGCATGATGGGAGAAAAGTACCTGTTGTGTGGCTGACTTATATCACAGGCATGATGGGAGATAAAAGCATGATGGGATAAAAGTACCTGTTGTGTGGCTGACTTATATCACAGGCATGATGGGAGATAAAAGCATGATGGGAGAAAAGTACCTGTTGTACAGCTGCCTTGTATTTCTTCATGATTTCAGCCATTTCTTCCTCAGAGTCTTCTAGGTTTGTGAGGATGTCATTCTTCTCTCTCATTAGAACACTGTATCTCTCTTCAGTCTATAAAGAAAAGGTTTGAACTTTTAGGACACATTAGACAAGACCATAACAAAAATATTATGAAGTTATATAATGGTTCTTTCTGTATATCGTGTTTATACTCGAGTGAGTATATGATGTATATTATATTCTCACGAGAGTATAAAATGCACGATATACAGAATGAACCATTATATAATCTTATTATGCCACTCTAAGTTCAATTACAGTTGATTCGAACAAAATCATAACAATTAAAAACCATAAAAATATCCCATTGCCAACTCAGTAATGCCGATGTTGATCTCGATCCATTTATAACGTCACTTGATTCTAGGAAATCATGTGTAACAAAACATACACCTCGTTCTTCGGTCAATATTCATTTTTTCCCAGAATGCACTTCTACAGTGGTATACGCTGGAGTGTATACGGAGGAGTTGTATACGATGACGATATACCACTCTCCACTGTATATCGTTGTTATAGACCCATGTTATACAACTGTAATCGGACTTAGAGTGGTATAAAGTAAGATACCTCACCAGTCAAATCTTTCTTGCCTTTATTTCAGCATATATTTTTGCCATTTTTGGAGTAAAATTAAGAAACAAACATATTATATGTCCCTTAACAGATCATTAACCTAAGGGGACTTTAAAGATAAGATGTAATTCACAGCATACAATGTACAATGTATACGCCTAGAGTTTGACATAATGATTAGATGACATCCTTGAAACTGTCAGATCACATGTTATATTTAGTTCTTCCTTTTTTCCTGGAATCCTAATATTAGCTTGATTATGAATGATTTAAAGTATATTTCTTTATTAAATTAATGCCACATGCTATGATGACACACGAAAATGATTCTGATATTAAAAACAATATTTCTTGAAAGATTAGTAATATCCTTACATCAGCCTTAGATTTGGTGACATCATCAATCTGTCTTTGTAGATCGCTTATTTCAGACTCCATACTTTTCCTGGCCTTTACTGCCGCTGCCGTTGCAAACTCTGCATCGTCAAGCTACAATAGATGGAGCTTTATTCAATACCCAGAATGCAACATTACCTTCTGCTTTTTTAAACCAATCATTTTAACTTGTCTCTTGTACTAATATCTTGTGAATATGCCTTCTCCAAGGATTCTTATAATAGAAACTGCACAAGAAATGAGTATTCAAGAAGTTCAAAAAGAAAGTCACTGATTCTGCCAATTTAATAATACTGTACCATTTGACATTAAATACCTGATTTCGGAGCTGCTTAATTGCGCTCTTTCCTGCCATATCTTTCTTTTGTTTTTCCAACATTGTTTGCGCATCATGCAATAAAGCACGTGTTCGTTTCAAATCATTACGCAGCCTCTTTTCCACTCCACGATCCCTATTGGGTACAATGTCTTGCATTTCTGCAAGTTGTCTTTCTAAATCTTTCTTTTCACGAATTACTGACTGTTTTTCTGCGTATTCTTCATCGAGTTGGACTTCCATGGCCTTGACCTTAAAAACATTATCAATACACTCAATTATACACCAATTAATCTAAATTAATTGTCAAATTGTTATTCATTTATTTCTCATGCCAAAAAAAATGTAAATCTTAACTAACAAACTTTAAAATATCAATTTTTGCCCAGCCTCAATTAGGAATTTACAGTATGGTTCTACTTGAATGCAAAGAAAGAAGTTTATGGAAAACCAAATACTGCATATCCTGGTACATGTAAAGAATATCCAAAATACTCAACAGGTATGCTAGCATGCTAACATACTTGTTTATGTTAACATCAACAAACCTTCTTTTGGGTAGAGTATCTCATCTCTTCAATCTCAGTGTCTCGTTCTTCTTGCTCTTTATTCTGCTGTTGACGCAACTTCTGAGCATCCATCTCCAGCCTCAGTTTGGCCTGAAATATATGAGCCAATATGCAATATCATTTTCCATAATGCAATTGTTAACTAAGCAGGGAAACTTCTCACTGATGAGATCTCGATAAATATCAAACTTATATATATTTAAAAGTCAAGAATTTAAATGTAATGATATATACTGGAGTGACATTGTTCAAAGTGTCCCATAATGCATCAGTCTGAGCAGACGTCTTACCTGCTCTAGTTGTTGTATAGTTCCAGCTTGTTCATCAAGTTCTTCTTCCTGGTCAGTCACCTTGGCCTCAAGCTCTGCTTTTGCACGTTTCAATGCCAGGATCTGAATGCAAATTACACCATAATGCAACAGCCGAGAAAGCAGATGGCAAACTAAAGCGATATTTCTTCAAGACTTCAAGTTATTTCTAAATTTTCAATCAAAATTACTGTAAAAATAATCCTGATGATTTTTCCAGAAATGTGCAAACAAAAATCATTATGAGACAAAATGTAATGGCATGACACCTAATATAATCTCATGTTTTGCACTTCAACAAATAATCATTATTTAGTGGGTGGTTGAAGGCCATTTTGAATCAACACATATTCAAAAGTCCAAGCAGACAAATAATTATGAATAAACAAAACATATGAATTGTACAATAAGTACAAATTACCTGTTTATCTGAATCTTTACTTCCTTTGGATGACAAATCTTCCAGATCTCTCTCAAGAGTCTGCAGTTTCTCCGTCTGCATGTCTGAGTCCATCTTCAATGTCTGCAATTACAACACATGCATATACCCCATAATGTAATATTTTAAGCAGAAGTCAATGTCCATCATAGATAGGGGGATAACCTCCCATCATACCAAGACCCTATCATTATATATAAAGCTAAAGATCTGTTATAAACAGTTATGAAAACTTGTATTTCCAACAAGACAATAGCAGACCTTAATGCCCATGTATAACTTCTAATGTTTGCAATCAAAAGTTAAAGTACCTTTAAAGCAATGGATTCAACGTTCAGTGTTTTGAATCACATACATATATCCCATAATGCAAAATATTTGGCAGATGCAAATAATCATCTTCAATGTCTGGAATCACAACAGCTATATTTATAGTCTATATAGTTCTGAAGACTTCAATGTTCAGGTTCATTTTTATTGTATCTGTGACATATATCCCATAATGCAAAATATTTGACAGACGTAAATGATCATCCTCAATGTCTGAATTCACAACAGCTACATCTATAGTCCATAGTTCTACAGACTTCAATATTCATGTTCATTTATCTGTTATCACAACACATACTATATATCCCATAATGCAATTGCTTTAGCAGATGTCAATGTAATCCAAATGCCACCATATATCCCATAATTTCAGGGCAAATTGTTGCAAAAAACTGCAATTCCTCAAGTCAAAATGTTATATCTTCCGAGTTATGGTCAGTTATTATTATAGACCAGACAGTGTGTGAAACTTGCAAGTTATATGCAGTGGAAGAGCAGCTGTGTTTCCCTTTGATTCAAACAGTTCATTTGTAGTACATATAAGCAAAAGTAGCAAAGCATAATGCTTGACCATTCCAATTGGTCAAAATCACATTACAAAAGTACTTGATATGATATTCCAATGTACAGAGAATCAATTAAGTTGATAGAATTTAGAGATAAGAATGAAAACATGAATTATATTACTCTTTCGCAGGGGTAATCCAATTACATAATTTTTATCTTTCATTATTATATTTTTGGCAACATGGATATTTCCTGCTTCTAATTAGGATCTCAAGTTCACACTAGCCTCCACGAATATTCATGTTTCTTAATTACTTCTGGTGATTAACAAATACAAGATAACAAGTTGCTCTATCAATTAGTCTAAATTGCAGGTTATTTGAACTGTAACAAAATCAACATAGGGATCAAGTTTCCAATTCAAAGTGGAATTATATAGATAGTATCAGATATGTTCTTAACACTGAAGAAAGTTCATTAATATTTTATGAGAGAAAAGGCATGGAAAAGGCGTGATTTCCGAGATCAGACGTGTCAAGTGAACACATAGTGTGCGTGCTCTAAAAGTATTTGTTTTTCATGCATTATCTGCTACCATGGTGTCAAATAATGTGAAAATTTATGTTGTCATCCAAACAGATCTTTTTTACCCAGAATGCATCAAATAAAGCAGACGGTTATTTACCTTATAAGCCTGATCTATTGTGTACTTTTCTCCCTGTAGTTCATCTCTTTCCCGCTGCAACTTTTCTCGATGGTGCTTCTCGTCTTTAAGCTCATTGGTCAGTTTATTTAGCTCCGTGTCAAACCTTAAACATCCAAAACACAATATATAACCATGACATCGAAAAATAATCAATCGGGTGATTAATCCCTGATTAATTTCTCAGTAGAAAATTTTGAATTCGATTTGATTCAAACAAATTGAAAAAATATCAAGATTTTGCTAAAAGTTGGTGAAATTTCAGATTACTCACTTTCGTTGTTTCTTTTCCAGATCTGAATTTCGGTTGATCTGTTCATCGAGATGTAATTTTGCGTCATTCTGTTCCTGTGTCAAGCGACTAGATTTACGACGCAGATTCTGAATCTGGCGGTGAAGATTGTCATTCTCTTCAATCATCTCATTCATCTGAAGTCAAAAACATATCCGAGGTCCATGTTTAAAAATGATTATTTAAAAGTGGAATCTAAACGAAGTATGCAAATTGCAACCAGGCTCCCAGTGACCCTTGATCTTATTGGTTGCAACTCAATATTATATAGCCAATTAATTATCTCAAGAATAGGAGTTGGTTTCAGTGACCTAAGGGGTCTGGTTGCAGTTTCCACAGACCCTCCTCAAAACTGGAAAGAACTATAAAAATTAACAGTAAGCTAAATCAAGTTTTAAGAAAGAAATGATTTGAAACAATGGCAATGAGCAATAAATGATTTTCTACTTATATGAACTCTGATACCAGACCTTGTAGTCAGGTTTAGGGTCTTTATGTTCATTACTTCCTAGAACAGTGTCATTTAACAATATCTCTAAAAATGTGTTCTTACTTTGCGCTCCAATGCCTTCTGTTTATTGGTCGCTTGATCCATTTCCTCAGTGTGTTCCTGCGTGAGACGTTGACGAGTCATCTGAAGCTCCCTCTTTAGTTTGTCATAGCGATCCTTGTAGATAGAGTCACCTGGTGGACAGATTCAACACTAACATTTAAATAACTTAGGCATTTTATTACATTTTCGTGTTTCATTGAATATTATCGATTTAAACTCAGGAAATGTTATTTGGTTGGTTGAGAAAGATATACTGCATACAAAGAGACATTTTACGAAAATCAGCGTACCGTCTGTTTCATCTTCGTCACTATCAATGGCTGAGACATTCCACATCCTGGTCTGTGTGACTTCCATCTCCAATTGGTAGTTACGCTTTTCACTTGAGTTAAATTTTGCCTAAAGTAATAAAAAACAATGGTTCATTTAGTAATAAGTAATGCAAAATAAGTGATATATACTGAGAACTGCTCATTTTTGTGATTTAAATTAATTCCTTTTCAAAATTTTAAAGTACAATAAATTATGATACAAAAATAAGTAATTCTACAAAAAGTGCTCGTGTTATATAGAATTGGTGTCTAGAGGAAGGACACAATTAAAAGATGTCAGGGCAGACAAAAAAACAGGGTTTAACTCTCATCATTGAAAAATTATTGTGAAATATTGGCTCAGAAAACGATGAAATCTACCTGTAATTCTCGTAATTCTTTCTCCAAACGTAACCTATCTGCCGTCTCTGCCTCAAGTAGCTCACTGGCCTGTAATGATGTGGCATTCTCCTCGGCATAGTCTGCTGTCAACTCATTAAGCTGAAATGCAAGACGTTAAAGTGTAACGTGTGATATAAAGTATATGTAAAATACACTTTTCGTGTTGGTCACATGCTCAGTAAAAAGATACCCAAGGATACACATGTTTAGGGAATGAGTAGTAAACCAATATGTTCATCTATGCATGATTTCCTTAATAAAAATATTTGAGCATTTATCATTTCCGGGTCATTTATATTTGGATAAATCATTGTATTTTCCCACTTTAAACCCAATGTTAGATCTTTTTATAATTTTAATTTGTATTTTGTGAAAAAAATAGATACATGTATCAAGATATAGATATATACTGTACACTGATATAAGTTTGGTTTTAAATGTCACAATGCATGCGTGTAGTGTTACTCCGAAGTAAATGACTTCCCAGATGCCCTTAGTATATTGGCAAACATGTAGATTGACATCAAATCAGAACTTGAATGATTGGTCAGTTATGAATATGATGCTTTGAATTCCGATTACTTCAAGTATTAGTACAAAGCTCGGTGACATGAAATGTCAGGAAAATGGGAAAAAAATTCTTAACTTGATTAAAAGCATTTGTAATAGCCAACTCATGCATTCTTAGACACTGCACTCATTCAAATATTCAGATAAAGGAAACTTCTCCTCATTATTGTTTTAATCTTCTGTAATTCTGAATCAACCTAGAGTTTACTAACCTCCCCCTTTTTCTGAAAAATAAACTGAGCTTAACCGAGATGACTCGTTGCATGTCGCCATGTTGTTTTTTATAATACATGTATATGTAAAAAGCCTATTGTGTAACTTTTCCTGGCCAGGTCATGCAAATATCAATAATGTGCCATTTTTAAATTGCATAAGAAGGATATAGGGGGTTGGGGGTAAAAAGCCAGATGTAGTTGAACATCCATAAGGAAAGATGTAACTTCAATATTCAATAAAGAATTAAGAAATGGGGGAAGCAGGGTTTCAAATTTTGATCAATTAGTTGGTACAGGCAATATTTACAATATGTCTTTATATAAAATCAGATTATCAACAGTTTTGGCATCTTAGTGGTAAGTTTGAATGTATCATATTTTCTGGCATCTTCTAGAATGTCCACTTCATGCACTTTACATTTCCAGAATTTTCCCCTTTAAAATCTGAATGAACCATATCATTTTCTGTCATTTCTATACAATTTAGAGTGTTCACTACAAATCTTTTTTCTTTATTCCTTGCTGATTCCACTCTTTTCCCCTCTAATTTGCATCCTAAGACATGTCCTTCATAAAATCTCAATAATTTACCTTAGTTTCCAGTCTCTCGCATGTAATCCTCAACTGATTGCGCTCTTTTTCCACTTTCTCCAGTTTCGCTTTCAATAGTTCAGTTTCCTCCTACAATACACAATACAACTGGACTCATTATTAAAGGGTAATGTTAGATTTGTTAACATAATATGCAGTTCAACTGGTCTTAAAGGTCAATGTCAGACTTGCAAGCAAATTCCACAATTGATAATGTTAAATCAAACAACAGCATGTGAACATAAATCACTGTTAGATACACATAACAAAACTGGGAGCAAAACATTGGGTTCCATAAAAAAAATATATCTTACCTCTCTTTCTTTGAGTTCTTCCTCCGTGCGGTGAACATTGAGCAAAGGTTGTACTTTGGTATATAGTTTCCACCATGTCCAATCCCTGATTCCCATAAACTTCTGGACATTTCTTTGGATACAACTGACTGCCAAATGCTGAACCTATGTAAATTATAAATAAAATAGAGTAAACCGGAATAATTTGAACACCAATAGCAGTGTTTGGACTGGCATTATCAACATTTTAAGTTTTTTTACATGGAAATCTAGGGCAGATTAAATAACAAGGCATTAACATGCAAAATGTCACCACCTGTCATTTGCTACAGATGCTGACTGCCAAAACACCAATGCTGAACACTAATGCTGAACAACAATGCAGAACACCAGTTGCAGACCACCAAACACCATATTGTTGCTATGATGCAAAAATTGTTTTCAATAAAGACCAATACAAAATTATGGCTTTAAGTATACAAACTTTGAGTTGTTGGAGTTTCTTCCTGGCCAGGTAGCCACGGCATTTCGCCTGAAAGACGACCAGTTGTCCAGTAATCTTGGTGTCTCGTGCATCTTCAAGTCTAGCAAGTCCTCCAGCACGGAAAAACACCTGAAAATGGGAGTTAACAAAAATAAATAAGGGATTTGATGTTATGAAAAAAGAGTTTATCTAAGATTTTAAATATGACAGGACCAGCATGTTTATGGAATATTTAAATGTAATATTTTTAAGGGCATTTACTCAAGATTTTCGGTACAAAGATCACATTTCACATCTTACATTTTGCAGATATTATTATGCACAACATGCAGTTGAATAATAAAGTACTATTTATGAGATCTTGAAATATGTATTATTTATCATTAAGTGAAATTTTTTTGTTACGACAATGAATACAAAACAAATCTCCAGTAATGAAAGACAAATTTTTTTTCAGGATATCTCCGACATTGCTACATATTTCCATGTAGAGCAACTCTAGTTCAGTGTGCCTGACTGCCCCTCCCCTACCTCCTTTTTTCAGGATCTCTCCAACATTGCTAAATATTTCCATATAGAGCAACTCTAGTTCGGTGTGCCTGATTGCCCCCCCCCCTACCTCCTTTTTCAGGATCTCTCCGACATTGCTACATATTTCCATATAGAGCAACTCTAGTTCAGTGTGCCTGATTGCCCCCCCCCCTACCTCCTGAAGGGCATCTCCCCTATTAGGTAGGCAGAGGGGATCAACATTTCCCACATACCTTAGTTTCTACTCCTGTATGACCATTCCTCTCTCGATAAAAGAAATTCTATTAAAGATCTAAAAACAAATTTGACCTTACCTTGACCTCTGACTTATACCAAGGAGGGGTCATCGAGAGGTCACAGTCATAATGAGCATTAAACACAGCAGGGTAAAGGATTTGGCCAGTGTTAAATATGCAAGGGACTGATGTAACATCACCATTTCTACATGCATGACAATCAATTGTGATGCCATGGCAACCAATTGTTGCATCACTCCCACTGTTGCCATGGTGATTGTTATTAGTTTCAACGTAAACTCCACTTGCTACCCAATGGCTGTTTTCTTTGATGCTCATACCATTATGACCAATTTTCACATTTCTCCCTGTTACTTTATGCTGGTTAGTTCCTAACTGAGATTGTTCAGTTATTTTTAAATTATGCCGAGCCTTGAAATTGTTATTTCTCTCTTTGAACTGCAATTCTCTTGGAAACTCTTGTTTCGGAACTGTGAAGGTTTCATACATGACTTTTATTCAATTAAGACGTTTTAAGTACATGTTTATTTTAATAACATTTCAGTTTCTTTACATTCCACTCTGCCTTACTGTTATACTTGTTTCGCTTAGCATATCTCCATTATACAGCAGTTTACTTCATTATACCTCTAAAATGTAATTTTAATATTAATATCCAATATTCCTCAGCAAACGTAAAAATAGTATAGTTCTAGTTCTAATGTTTGTAATTCACATGTTACACATATATACTTATGTCTCTATAGTTTTCGTTTCATGTGCAATTCTGACTCTAATAATAAATATTTATTTAATTATCCGATTATCATTGATTTGATGAACTATTAAACTGTAACCAGTTGCAAAATCTAAATCCAAAACTAAGGTCAAAATATTTTGATTATCTATTTGGGGTTTTCACAAATCGTCGATCTAATTTCATATTCTATCTCGATATAGTAAGGTGTATATCATACCCATGAAAAAAAGATTGTGTTAATGCTCAATTCTCAGCTTTTTTCTCCAAACTTTGAGTCAGGAGCTTGAATTTTTGATATTTCTATACAATTTAGAACATTTACTTCTAGTCTGTTTACTTTATTCCTTTCTGATTCCACTCTTTTCCATTCTTTTTTGTGTTTGAAAATTTGTCATTGTGAATTTTTTTTATAGGTATCAAGTACTATAATAAAACATTCCAAATGACTTAAGCTGTGGGAGCCTTGAAAAATTGTGATTAAATATTAACTTTTTAATCACTTTTTGATGAAATTGCGGGCTAAAGCTTTTAAGGTGTCCAAGCATTAAGAAAACTGGGTAAGGTTGAAGCTTTCAGAATAGCCAAGTTAAAAATCTTATTTTGACATTCATCATAAATTTCAAATCAAATATGGAAACATATACATCATACAATAATGAAACAGACAGATCTGAACCCTGGATCTGTGATATGCATTGAGAAATAAACAATGATAACTGAAAATTGATATAATCATGACAATAATCATGACAATAACCATGACAAGTCAGTTTAATAATATGAAAACTCAATGACATTTTTGATGAATAAGATTTGATTAAATACTTGAAATACTAAAGGACATCACGTAAATGCACCAATAAACTTCACTTGGAAGACTGCCTAAAGTAATCATGCTTATTTTATATTTTACTCAATATCTTCATTTATTTTGAACTCAATTTTAAGGAACTCAGTTTTATATACTTTATTTTATTCCTTGCTTACTCAAATCTTTTCCATTTCCATTTGTCATTAAAAACACAACCAGAAAAATATGAGATGTTTCAAAAGGAAAGTGATTTCAACTCAAAATTTCAATAAGAACAAACTACTTTGAGTATAGCCATAATTGACATACTGGTACATGTAATAACGTCATACTTAATATTGTACTTATTGTATATTTTCTTATATTTTATGCTTTAAATTTAGTTTTGTAGATTAAGAATAGAAAAAATGAATCTTTTTTTGCCTACATCAGTTTCGCCCTGTATATACAAATTAAATGTCCATAAACTTGAATACTGAATAACGTAATAACTGAAATAAACATACCCAAATTCTGTCATGGGGATTTCTGTATGAGGGTCTCTCAATATCTTAAATCCTAAAGAGACAGGTAAATTAAATAAACTTACCTCGTTTGCAATGTCAGTTTCACAATCATCAATGTCATCTAAATTAGTGATGTCATCTCTTACACTTGTGATGTTATCTCTTACATTAATGATGTCATCTCTTACTATGGTGTCACCTGGTTCAACGTTAGCATCTACCAGACTGGTAAGGCTTTGAGTTCCATAATTTGAACAATTTAACCCAAATTCAGAGTCGTTTAATGAAAAGTTTTTTGAATTGTCAAAGTCAACATTTTCTGAGAGTGCTTTGGATAAACTGTCATCAGATAGATGGCAGGGAAAGTCACTAAAATTTGCCTCGGAGTGTGTACTGTTCTCACATTCCTTATCCTTATCATCATGTCTTGTTTCATTGTCATCATGTCTTGTTTCATGGTAATCATGTCTTGTTTCATTGTCATCATATCTTGTGTCATGGTCATCATGTCTCGTTTCATTATCATCACATCTTGTATCATTATGCTGAGTTCTATCAACATTTGTTGAGTTGACTTTGAGTGTTGAGTTATCTATATTATTTTCTGTCTCGGGATTCTGGTCCTCACAGTACTGTAGAGGCACTGAGTATAAACGGCCCATGTCTGATTGCTCACAGGAAGACTTATCATTAGCAAGAGATACATTCGATACAGATGTATTTCTACTTTTACCATTAGAACTCTCCCTAATTGACTCCACATCTAGGTTATGAAGATGAACATCGCTAACCTGGCTTGCTTCATCAGTTTCCCTATTTCTAGAAATGGTTCTGTTTGATAGGAATGTAGAGTTGCTACAGTAACCATTGTCTTGTAGAGTTGAGTTACCTTCATCAGATAATTCAGTTGAATTTTCCATCGAAATTGGATTTTGAGAATTGTTGTTGTCGTTGATACCATTTCCCTGATATTTACAGAACAAATTGGTTTGTTTTCCATCATCAAAATTGTTATTCAAAGTATTGTTATTTAAAGCAATCTCAGTGTTGCTATGATAACCAGTGGTGTTGCTATGGTAACCATGAATATCCTCATCACTTTGAGCATAGGGGATAGGCATGAATGCATCTTCATCAATGTCCAAATCATTGTTTCCATAGTAACCATCATTTTTATTGTTGTTTTTCAAGTCAATTTGATCAGGATTTTCTACACAATCACTTATATTATATCTGTGTTTGTCATCATTATATCCATGTTTTCTGTCATTTTGTTCAAGTTTCTCTCTATTGTGTTCATATTTCTCTTTGTATCCATATTTTTCAACTGTGCCATCATTGTCGCGGTAAGATACAGGTTTTATATTATTATTAATCCCATGTCTACTATATCCAGGTTTTTCTCTACTGTGTCCATGAATCTCATCATAATATCCAGGTTTCTGAGGATATCCATGTTTCTCAAGTGTAACAGGGCTCATATGTACAGGGGTACTAGCATGAAGATCCATTGTATTTGCAAAGTCCTCAGAGCTTGATGGAATACTCTCAGATATATCGCTACAAAAACTGTCATTGTGACTCTCCGGCATATCACTTTGGCTTTCGTAGAAGCAAACAATATTCTCTGGATTCACATTTTCCAGATTATCCCCAATCGCAGACTTTCTCTGAGCCTCACCAACTTGAATGTCATCAGGCATTTTCACAACATTATCACCATTCACTTCCAAATCATTTCCATGGTGATTTTTACCTAGACTGCCATTGTTCGGGTTGCTAGGGTTTTTATCAAATCCAGCAATAAGCTTAACAACTTTTCCTTGTTTATTGCCTGGAAGATTTTGATTGTGAAGTTGTGATGGTTCGTTTTTTCCATTTTGAACTGTGATAACATACTCTGGAAATGTTGTTGTGGGCTCGCTTCTGAGAGCATTTATTTTGTTATTACCAGACTCCAGCTGAGATTTGGGAGCATTCTGTTTCAGATATCCAGGATTTGACACTTCCATTTTGACTGTAGCATTTCTCTGGGGTTCACCTGATTGGTTACTTCTATATTTGTCTGAACTTTTGTTTCTATGGCGACTATGCATATTATAACTGTTATTTGATGTATAATCAGAATCAGAATCAACCTGAGAAAAAGAGGAAGTCAGAGGCCTATTGCTGCCACCTTTTGAATGTCTATTGGGGCATCCAGATTTACAGAAATCACCACATGTGCTGCAATCACATATTTCCGCAGATATAAGGGATGGGATACTTTTCACAGATGATGCCCGACTCAACGATCCTGGTGATTTTGGAATACAATCCGAGTGCCACTCAACTTTATATGAAGTTGGAATTTGGTACTCAAGGTATGTTTGGTTCTTTACACTATCAATTGGTGTTCCCATGGTGACAGTTGCTACGTTACAGTTACAGGATCAATTTAATATATCCAGTGCAATAGTTACTCTATCAAAGGTGATATTGATTGAGGGTTGGTTCCATATAAATTAAAACACTTTTCTTCAATATTTTAGTGGCTACATTCATGTTGCTTTGTCAATTCGTTGCTTGTTCATCAATATTGTCAAACAAACAAATGTTTTCAAAATATCCCGAATCATTTGACAATATATCTATTCTTTGTCCTCATATATTTCTGCGTGAATCTTAAGTGAGCTAACTTGTTATTCCAATACATACATGTACTAGATCATAAGTATACTCGAATATACACTGATAACAATACAATGTATATCTGAACTTTTATAGTCACAATGTCAATTGTTTATCAACTTTACCTGAAATTATAAGAGAATGAGATAATGATTCATACTTCACAGTCTTCAATTGATTATGATATCCAATGTAGTGCTCTCTTGATTACATCATGTGTAATACTGTGAAGTCATACAATAATATATTGACATTGTTCATCCTTGAATACTTCTCATATTCAGCACAAATCCATAGACATTCAGCATAAATTCTAAACATTCAACACGAAACCATAATCATTCAACACAAATCCTTAACATTCAGCATAAAACCATGAACATTCAGCACAAATCCTTAACATACAGCATTGAAACCATGAACATTCAGCACAAAACCATAAACATTCAGTATAAATCCTTAACATTCTGCATTAAAACATGATCATTCAGCACAAATTCTTCACATGCAGTATAAAACCATGAACATTCAGCCCAGATCTTTATCATTTAGCATAAACCATAAACATTCAGCATAAAACCATCAACATTCAGCACAAATCTTTCAGAATATAATCACTCCACACAAAAACCAACAACACCTGTGATTTACCTCAACACCAAACTTCCCAAATTCTAAAAATCATGATCTTGAAAGTATCAATTTTGCATGATACAAAGATAAGTGACAAGATACATGAACTTGAGATCCTAGACATGAGAATGTTTCAAGTGTGGCATATAAAAGCATAGAGTAGAAGATTGTACACAAAATTAAACACCAATCTTGAGATAACAATTGGTTGATTACACCTTGTCTGAATACTAGAAATTATGCACAAATTACACATACTGATCTTGATCCATCCAACTAAATTTTTCACTTGACACAAAATGACCTTGACCATAACATTTGATTAAATTTGGATTTACTAGATTTAAAGTTGAAGCTAAACTTCTTGAACATCAACTACACATCGTGACAGACCAATTTTGTGATTCTGTTATATTTATCATTTTCAGCTTTAATCATGTTAGTATTCATGAGTAACTTGATAACAAGGTCCATTATAAAATGGGTTTTCAACTAGAGCCCATGATTATATTACAATAACTGAATTGATGCAGCAAATGACATAGATGAAGGTGATGATTAGTTCCATAAAAATAACATTTCACATATTTCTCATGCCACCCTTGACTTAACTCTTTGTTTTGGCTTTTTGGAAGGGCAAATTTAATGTAAAATCATATGAGAAGACACATTATTTGTAACAGAAGCAGTTTACATGAACCATAAACTGAACCATACATACCTTCCTTCATCCATGTTATTCATTGTATCCATATTGTTATCAAAACGCTCATAATAGACAAAGTTACACCAAAATCACATGATCAAAAATTGTTCATGTTCAAGTGCTCCTATACAGCTACTAAATTATACTCGGCAATTCTAATATTTTCAACCAAGTCCTGATTGATTTCTTACATCTTTTCCAAAAACTAAATGAAGTCAATAACTTTCTTCTCTATCTATTGAATTTAGTCTATTACTTTATTCCTTGAAATTCCATTTCTTTTCCTCTATTTCACTTTCATAACATGACTATCATGCCATGCTATGGTCAGTTGTCAGGCCTGTGTAACATAAACTACTGGAATGTCCAGTGTCAGTAAAACCCATCAACAAAATAGCAGACACCCCATGTTTCAAACTGCGAATTAAAGTGAAAATAGTGGAATTAGCAAAATAAAAAATATACAGGTATAAAGATAATACTTTAAATTGTATAGATACACCAGAAAATTAGGTAGTTCATTCAAATTTTAGAGAGAAATTTGGAGGAATAAGCAAAAGCAGACGGACAGTTTGAGCAGATATTAATCTCTAGTATGATTTGAACACAAGTGGATGTTGAACACACGTGTGTACTTAAAATATTTCCCAAGTTCAACATTAAATTGAATAAACAAGCAAATAGAAAATATTTCATAAAATATTTCATGTTAGAGAAGCATTCATCGATAATTATGCTATTTAGTTTCATCTTGTTTTTTATGCACCATTAAAAATCAGCTGTGCATCTTTTTATAGCCATTATATTTTTATAGCTATTAAAATGTCCATTATCTAAATAGACATTTCTACTTTAAGAATTTACAGATTTAAAATTGGCAAATGTTTATAAAAGTGGCTTTCCTGTTGAAATGTGAATTTGCGAATCAAAATCTTAGCAATATGGTGTAAAGTTTAATCAAAACAACCAATATTTATAAAAGTACATACTTTATGTTCAACAGTTTAATTCTATGCACTGTATATTATCAATTAGGTCAAGGAAAATTGTAAATATTGCAAATAATATCAATTTCTCTGTCATAGAATAGTAAATTCCAATATTTTTAATTTAAATTCAGTCTATTTTAGATTTTTGAACAATACCTTTGAACTCACCCAGCGAATGTATCCAAAGGAAAAGTAAAAAATTTTTTTCAGATATATTATTATTTTAAACAGTTGTCTGCCAAAATAAACAAACATGTGGAACCATGCGAATAAAATATTATCAGTATAATATAATATGGACACCACCCTAGACAAAAATCTGTCTTTTGTCATTCATGTTTATTCAACTTCTCGCTTTAATATATCTTACCAAGTCTATAGTTTTTTAATATTTTCGACTGTTTAAGCAGGGGTGTAAGTGTCTCTTAAACTTTGTTCTCTTTATTCCTTGCTTATTCCACTATTTTCACTCCATTTCGATTTTGATGGTCGTTGAATTTTATTTACAAGTAATGGATAAGTAGCCAAAATATTTGTTCAGAAACTGCCAATATTGTTATCACATCTATTTTCAATATCTGTTGTTGGATAGTACATCTCCCTTGAGTCTGATTTAAAATGGGGAAAGGAAAATTGTATTTCAAATCCACCGATTCAACAAAATTTGTTTTCTAATCCCAGTTCCTATTATTACTATCAAAAATTATTTAATCCAAAATTTTGATGATTATAAAAAAAGCTTACAAATCCTATTTGAAAATGATCAATCATCTTCTCATTTTCGATCCTCATTCAACAATGCTTATTTACTGTTCCTTCTTTAAACCATTATCAATGAGGATTCCAATATAATCATTATTCCAATGAATGTCAACAATGCTTATTTTCCAATTCTTATATTTCAATGATTGAGCTTTCATAAGTGGAAATATTTACCTGAATGACATGACAGTTTTAACAGTATACAGGTTTAACCTATACCCTCACAAAAAGATCATGGTTGTCATGGCTATTTCATGTTTTTCTCTCGAAATTTGAATGAACCATTTGATTTCTTGCTTTTCTACACAATTTAGAGTGTTTCCTACATGCATGATTACCATATTCTTTGATTACTCTCTTTTTCACTTTATTTTGCATTTTAAAGATGACCATCATATCATTTTTATAAAGGGTGCCATCAATTAATAATCTAATTACCCAGCTTTATTAATTAATGGAATTACTCTGGTGTAATAATGCATCATTTGAACTAATATTACAAGAAGTGTTTAGATGTACCTAACCACCAGATGTCCAATATTTGCCTACAAATCCATCTAAATAAGATTATTTGATACCTGATGAAATGTTGGTTTTTTTTTCGGGGGGGGGGGGTGATAAAGAATCAGGAAGTAGAGGGATACCCCCCCCCCCATCCAGGAATTGAGCTACCAAACTGAATCTTCTGGTCTTTGCATACTTACAGCTAGGTAGTATTTTCATTAGATAAAGCTCAAGATATAACAATACAAGTTGTCTTAATCGGTCTATGTATATTAGATTCCCGCCCCATTGTGGTAAACTACATCTTCTCCATCCGTGCTCTTCCTGGGGGATGCTATTAGCATCAGAATGGTCATGCACCAATTCTGCTTCTCATAATCCACTATACAATTCAATAGTTCAATTATCAAATTAACAAGTTTTTATTGAACAGGTCCTTTTATTGTTAATTTGTCAAACTAATTTTAGTAGAGGTACATACATGTGTTCTTTAATATCCTGTCTATTTTAGATGTATCACTTTTTTTATTCAGATACTCAACTATCAATAAACTAGAGAGGAACTGATATGAAGCTTTGACCTCTCACGCTGGTTCTCATTTACATTTAAATTTTCAACTGGAGAATGTAAAACTTCGTGACAAATGGGAAAAAACTTTGGATTAGAGCATTCTTGTCAAATCTTCACTTAAATATTTTCTCCACTTATTTAACACTAGGGATGTTTGGTGCAGATAAGTGCTGGCAGGCTCTGCACACGAAGGAAATTTATTTCTGAGGTGCGTGGTACGCCTGTGGTATCTGCATGAAAGATTTCCACTAGATTGCAGCACGCAATGGATACTTTAAGGATCCATGTTAGACGGAGGAAAATTTACGCCCGGATTGAACCCCACAGTGCCTGGACGTTCCATGCTGTAAACTTAAGTGATAGTAGAGGTGTATATGGATACAGTGTTGCTAATGAAACCATCCGGATAACATCTGTTGAAACCCATACAATGTGGTTTTCGCCCCATTAACCTACCATCTTGCACTGCTACATTTTATCAAATGCTGGTGGAGCCTGATCAACTCTGCTTGGGGTAACTCCTAGTCATATCTGCTTCAGTTTAATCCCCGAAAGCAGGAGGATTGAGACTGCTAATGAAGCATATTAGGAGCCAGCACTGTTGCATTTAAGATGTTTTAAATTACCACCTTAATATCATTGCAGAATTATTGTGTATATTATGATGAAATGTCAACATTTTGAATGAAATTTTACCTAAACTTTTAAACTTTACATAATACAGCAATAAATATGACTTGATTGACAGTTGTATACATGGGGAGCCAACCAAACCATAATGTCTTCCCCAAAAAATTCTTTTCTCTTTCAAAGTTTAAATTTTTTTTCAAAATAACCATACTACAGGTTAGAAAAAAATATATTCACTTTCCTCACCCTAAATCAAAAAAGCTTTTTTTCCTGTTATAATTTTTCTGGATAATTAAACAGAAAAAATTACAGGAAAGGGTTATTCATTCA